TTTTTCACATCCTCCCTGATGTCTCTCACTTCATAGGCTTCTGAGCAACAAACAGGCACCATGATGCTGTCCAATTGTCTATGTCGGATGTGGACCGTAGCGTCCCTTGAAGGCCGGCAGGGTGCGGGGCCGGAGCCTTGCTTTTCTCGGTGTTGGCTCTCTTCCAGTGCTTTCGGCCCAGGCCAGCGTGCACAGGTGGGGCCAGCATGCCTGCTCTGCGCCACACACCCTCCTGAGGCACTTGCTGCCAGAGCTGTTCACAGTGCTGGGATGAACCGCGTGCTCCCTGGGCTTGTCCTATGCACAGAACACATGCTGTTGGCTTCTTAATTCTGAGATGACAGCATCACTGCCCTTTATCCCCATCAGCCAGAACCACCAGTAAAATCCAGGACCCAGAGTACAGACGCTGCTAAGATTCTGGACGAGTCTTACTCCAGCTCTGAATCTGAGTTTCCCACTCTGCCAGCGCATGTTTTCTGCTGCCGCCAGAGAGCCGTCCGTGTGTCCCCAGCCCCACTCAGGTCATCGATCAGTGGTGGGTGCTGCTCCCCCACCCTGGGCAGCAGCCTCAGGGAGCCTGGTGAGAACAGCACAGACACCTGGGCGGTGGGTGCTGGTCTCCTCCCCAGGCTTCGAGGTGCCTGGCACCCGTGTGGCCGGGGGTGGGAGGCGCCTGTGCTCTGTCACACACTAGAGCAGGGCCGAGTGGCAGTGGCCTCCTAGAAAACCACCTGTCAGCCCCAACTCCCCAGAACCCTGAGTAGGCGGTCAGCTCCCTCCCACATCAGGCCGGCCCTGCTCCCTGGCCGAGGACACCACTGCCCAGTGATCGCACTCGGGGGTAAGGTGGTGACATAGTGAGTGGATCCTCGAGGAGGCACCTCAGTGATAAATCCAGATTTCAGGAGACTGCTCCAAAGCACTTCTTAGACCCATAGGTTGACCTGTTAGGAGGGTAAGAATTGGACGGCCTTCAGGTGGCGTTTCTTTCCTAACGAATGTCACCTACAGACTTTGTAGTTTGAGTAATTGGTTTGGGGGACCTTGCCATCATTGCTCCAGTAGTTCAGAGGATCCATAAGTCACAGCTTCTCAAAGTTTTAGACAAAATGTGTCATTTATTAGAACAAAGACAGGGTTCCCTAGACCACCCATGTGCATACACAGAGGAGACGACAATCTGGACAGATGGCCCAAAGTGTCACTGTGTCGTAGGGTAGGGCACCTGTTTTTATTAACAAAGGAAGAGTCTTGATTATTTAGAACAAAACAAAAGAAAAAACTCTGAAAAATGTTTCTTGAGAGCTCTGTATGTGTTGATGTCACCCTCTGAACTTCAGGTCAGAGCCACATGTGCCGCGTGGGCCCTGTGCGCCAGGTACCCACCCCAAGCTTCAGGGGTGTCGCCTTGTGTGGGCCTCAGAGCCTGTGGAAAGGCTGCCATCTGTCAGGTTGCCACCTGCTGTTCTGTGGATGGGGAAGAGGAGGAGGGAGGTGACCTGCTGGGAACCACAGTAAGACAAGAACTGGTGGTCGGGCCCCTCAGTACTAGCCATTTTTCTACCTCCTACTTTTGTTTTTGAGCCAGATTTTGTGTAGTGACTCATGACATTCTAGTCCAAAAATGGAGCCAGAAATAGTTCTCTGCCAACTCCTCAAAGTCACATTTATGTACCTGGATTCTTTGGACAGTTCAGCCTTTTTCTCTTTTTATGGGATTAATGAACCATGTTCAAGCTAAAGGAGTTTCCAGATCTGACACCTTCTGCTATCATGTTAACCTTCAAAATTAACCTTGAATCTTGCAAACTGCAGCTGATTCTTCTTCCACTGTTAGACAGAAATTTTCAAGACTGTTTATTGTAGAGATCTGAAGAAGAGAATTTAAAGGTGTAAAATAAAAGGAAGCTAACTTTTCCTCTAAATGTGATATTTGTCTTTCATTCCCTGGTTAGATGAGTAAAGTGCAGGTAAGCACCGAAGTATAATAGTGTGCTTTTTAAAATGACGTTTCAAAAATTATAAGATGAATTTTTAGGAATTTTTGGAAATAACGAATACCACATAGAAAATCAGCCGCCAGAGGTGCTCACTGCTGACAGTTTGCAATAAAAGGATTAAATTCTAAGTGTTTTTGGAAAACGATGGAACTGTGTAACTTGCAGCTTTGAGAACAGAGCCTGTCTGTGAACACGGGTGGGCAGTTTGATTCACTCCCTCAGAAATGCAGAGCTCAGTAGAACGTAACTACCATTTGTATCTGTCAATTTCAAATAGCTTAATTTTGGAAATTGAAGAATTTCTAAAAACTCCTTGTCTACAAATGAAGGAGTCGGTCATTCTTGATACTAGAATGGGATAGAAACGCACTCCTCTGTCCACGTGGATTCTGTAGTGGGGACTTGCAACTCACAACAATGGTGACCCTTTCTGGCTGTTTTTCAGTAGAAGACCTTGGACATGGGTCTGTTTTTACAGATATTTAAGATTAATTCTTTCCCCTGTCAGTTAAAGCTAAACATATTCTGTGATACCTAAAGCTTGATCTTTAGTGTTTTTAAAATCCTTAAGAGTCTTTCTTTCATCCATGTTTGCTAACGTGCATTGTCAACGTGGACAGGACTGTCTAAGGCAGGTGAGCGCTAAGCGTAGCGCCCTTCACATTGTCCCACGGCCGCGCTGGGACCACAGCACTTGGACCGCACACCTGTTTTCGGGGGTGGAGTGCGTGTGAGCGACTACTGTAGAAAGACTGGCCCACACAGGATAGAACATGGGGATGTGGGGTGCACACTCGAATGGGCCACTTGCTTGAAAAATACCTCCCCACAGATTTGTTGACTTTATCTTGTAGAATCTATGTTTACAGAATTGAAAGTAGGTGTGATTTATAGTGTTTTGTTATAACTAACAGATTAAATAAAAGCAAATGTTTAATGGCAGTTTGTGGTACTTTTTAATCTATTCACTAAATTGTGAGTTGACAATTTTTGTGAAACACTATCTATAGTGATAACATCAAATGATGACTTTTAATGTTCCCAGTGAGCAGTCTCTTCACTCTTTTACGTGTTCCTTACCAAGGGGCTGCTTACTGGGAGTTGCATTCTTAACCTGATGGCCCTATTATCGGCCCAGCAGATCAGAGAGCTGGTCATATGATGCTTCCTTCAGTGGTCACACCGTCACCTCAACTTTCACCCTCTGCTATTTAAAAATAAAGCCTAGTTTTGCAGCAACTTTCTGGTAAACTGTCCATGAGTAACTGCTATGGGACTGCCCATCTTCGAGGGAGGTGCTGAGTTGGGGGCTGGAAGATACAGGAGTAAAACAGTGGCCTTATACTGACTTTCATAACCAATGAGTGTAAAACATCCCAGCTCTCACACCTGGAACAATACATGTGTGAAGAATAAATTGATAAGTTATTAGTCGCCTCTAGACTTTTTTCTGAATTTTCAGTGTGTGAAGGTATCTCATTATGCAGTTTAGGTGAACCCTAAAAGTTCACCTCTAGGAATGTGCCTCTCCTCCATCCATGTCCAGGACTGGCGAGGCCTGGGGGAGGGCAATGTAGGAATTATATGTTATTTTAAGGTTGCTTAGCATATTTTAAATGTAATAAAAGCAAATTCTGATAAATTGGTCATTAATAATTTCATATCTTATTTCGTTCAGGTACTCTAATATGAATGAATGTTTCATGTTTTAAGCTGTTGGTTGTGAGGAATTCCAGAGGAAAACTCTGCCATCATAACATTGGTAGTTCAGCTCCGGAAGCTCCTGGGAGGGTCCCGAGCTCAAGATTTGTCAATGTGAAAATAAGGACCCCCTCCAGCCCTCAGGCCACGTTGGAGGGTTACCTGATCAGTTCAGTGCGGATGCCCGTCCAGGGAGCAGGAAACAGGCATGCCGGGTGTCCAAGAAACTCCTCTACACCATCCTGCCCACACGCTTACATGTTTTAGGCTAAATAAACCAAGTTTTGGTTTTATAAACCAGCCACTGTAGGCAACTGCATCCGGAACCTCTGGCATGGTGTTGGAGGCAAACTGAGTAGGCACCACGGGTTCGAATCAAGTTACTTCTATGACAGCATTTTGTGAGCTGGCTTAATCATAGTTAGAAATAATGGTAGTTTGGGTGTTAAAACACTGTACATTTGGAAACTTAAGGGAACTTTATATGTTTAATAGCTTTTAAACAGCTGTTAAATTTCTTCTAGAAAACTCTGCTTTAATGGTATCTTTAAACTACAGCATTTACTAGTTACTGATTTCCCATAGAAAAACATTAGAAATAAACCTTTGAGAATTATAAAAAAGAATGGATAAGAGAATTTCTTTATTACAAAATTTATGATGGAATATACCTCATCATTAGCCTCCTTAGAACTAGGCTAAAATTTTGGCTTCTGTCTAGTCAAAAGCAAACATTGTTTTAAGGAGGGAAACAAATCAGGTATTAATTACTTTTGTGGTGTAATTTATAAAACCAAAATAAAATCTTTATTAACGAAAAATCAAGGAAGTAGAAAACAGTATAATGAGTTATCATTTTATATGATCCAGTTTTTTTAATGAATGATTAAATGGCCTTAAAAGAGACATTTTTCCAGCTGTGTTAGCACCGTTTTGACACGTCTCTAGCACTCACACAGAGGGTGCCCCTCTCTGCTGGTCCCATTCCACAGGCTTATTTTCTCAGTGGCATCTTCTCTAGAACAAAGGGAAACCCCTAGAACCACAGAGTCCTGGGGGTCCAAACGCTTGTGGTTGGTGAAATCGGATTGATCAGCCATCAACCTGTTTGCATTTTCACTTTATGTCACATTGACAATTGCATGTGAGAGCAGCTTTATTTGCACACTTTCCAAAAAGTGCCTAGTGGCGGTGTCAGGCTACTGTCGGCTAACTCCTGGAAAGAAATGTGGTATCTGGCCCGCATCATGGCCCTTTCTCATTTCTCGCTCCATCCCCTGCCTCGTTCAATTCCAGGCTTTTCTATGGACAGTCCTCAGCCTTCTCCGTCCACCTGGAAGAGCCCACTGAGCCTGAGTCCTGCATTTCAGGTGACTCTGGGCCCAGCTGAGCAGGGCTGGTCCCCACTCCTGAGCCCTGTCCTCAGCGATGCTGGCGGAGCCAAGATGGACGATGAGGAGCCCAAGTACAAGGTGGGCACGGCCCCGAGCAGAGGGCTTGCTGCTGGGGGGCCCGTGTTTGCAAACTTCTTTCTGGGCTGGGAGGCCCGAGGGTGGGGAGGGGTCTGTGCCCACACTCCCCCTGACTCCTGGGAGGGTGGACTGGCCTGCTCAGTGAAATCTCATCCTGAGATCCTCCCATCACTTCTTGGGACTCATCAGGGACGTTTGTAAGAGTTCCTGGCACCCGTGGGTTCCAAGTGTTGGGCTGGATTCTGGGGATGTGGTGGGAACAGGAAGTCCCTGGGGGAGCTCTAGGCCAAGTGACTGGGAGGAGGTCTGGTGCTAATGGAGAGTTTGCTGGGGACCCATCTTGTCTGGGGGGTCAGGGGAGGCATTCGGGCTGATGGATGAGTGAGTCCCAAAGGAGTGTCCTGGAGGTGGGTGGGTCCAGACAGGAGTGTTGTTGCAAGAAGAGGGGGATGCTGGGCATGTGGGTTTAGGGTGGAAAGTGGAGACAGTCCCCCTGCGGGTCCCTGCTTATTGTCAGGGATGGGAGTGAGGCAGGCGCCAAGAGGTCAGGTAGAAAGTGCGGAGCTCGAGGCTCAGGCAACGGCCAGAGGCAGTGGCACCCGTGGCCTCAGGGCCCTCGCCTGTGCCTGGGTGACATTGTGGTCCAGGCAGTCAGGGCCAGGCGGTTTTGTGGGTGGACACAAGGAAGAACAAGGCGCAGGGAATGTTTGGGAAAGTGAGTGGTTCAATAAGCGAGCTGTGGGCTGTGTTGGCCCAGGGGGACAAAGCCAGGAACCTCCTGTTCTCAGGGAATGGAGGTCCCCAAGCGCCAGCCAGGCCAGGTCCCTGCCTCACAGGTGCCTGTCACATGGAGCAGCTGTCATCGTGAACACCTCAGCATTCCACTGTTTCATCCTGAATGGGCCAAAGTCAGCATGTTCTGTCCAGGGCTGCCCTTGCTGGACACATGAGGTTCCTCATCTGTGGGGTGCAGCCCTTCCGAGGTCTCCATCAGACACTCTTCCTTGTGCCAAGGCCCCCCTGGGCCCACTTCAGTGAGAGCAGCCCCTGAACTGGAAGGCATGCTGTTGTGTGAGGTGGCAGGCTATGGCCTGACTTCCAGACCAGTGTCCCCCTCCATGGTCAAGGCTTTGCAGCCAGCCCCCACCTCTCAGGCCTCTGTCTCCACCTCCATCCCATGGGCAGGGGGCAGGGACAAAGATGTGGGCCCCCGAATGTCAGCCCCCCTTTCTTAGCTTCAGACCTCACCCAGCTTGCTTCTCTCTGGCTGGCGTCTAAAGCACATCGCCTCCTGGGTACAAACCTGACTGCTGACCTTCCTCCCCAAAACTGTCACCTGCAGGGGGCAGCGGCTCTACCCCTTGGCTTGGGCCCCAAACCACAGTCATCCTGGCCTCCATCTCTCACACCTCCACCCACAGCGGCATTTGACCCCCAGAGTATGTCGGGGTTCCACCCCTCATCCTGCCACTCCCCTCCCCTGCTGCACAGCCTACGTGGAAAGAGGCCTCCTGATGAGCCTCGGCCAGCCCCTCCCAACTTGCTCAGTGCACCAGCCAGGCTCATCCTGGGGTCCCAGCATGCCTACCTTCCAGATCAGTAACCAGCTCCGTCTCCTACCCCTCCACCTCATCTGTGACCTCCTAGCCCACCTAGCCGCCAGCCCCACCCTCTCCTGGAGGTAGCCTGTCACTCTGCTAGAGGCTGCTGACCCCCACACACACCCGCCCCAGCTTTGTGTCCACCCCTTTTCTCTGCTCTGGCGGCTAACTTCACCGTTAGCCTGTGCGTTGCTTCTTGCTGTTTCCTCTTGGGAGGCCATCAGCTCAAGGACAGGGACCTCCGTTCCTGGGCACATCCCAGGTGCCTATTGGGGCTGTTTGCACGGCAGTCGTGGCAGCCATGGGAATGGTTGGCCTGTAAAGTCCTCCATCTATTGGAGGAGCCACGGGGCAAACATGCAGGGAAGGAGCAGAACCAGTGTCTTCCGGCTAGGGAAAGTGGAGAAGGGACCATCAAGCGGGGCTCAGCCAGGCTGAGGCTAAGGGTGGGCAGGGGCCCCCTGAAAACAAGATGTAGCCCCTGGTCTGGCCTGAGCATCGTCCTGTGCTTTGCCAGAGGCTGAAGCTGGGCTAGGGGGCCCTTCATGCTCCTGAGGGCCCCGTCATCATCATCGCTGACTTGCCTGCCAGCATCTGCACATCAGGCAGAGCTCCAGGGCTGGGCCATCTCTGGCCCCACACTCCCAGTGTGTCAGCCACCTAGTGCTCAAACATGAGGCGCAGTTAGAAGCTGCACTGTCTGGCATTGTGATAACTCTATGAGTCGGCCTTAATGGTTTATGCACACGTACATGCGCACACACTCGTGAATCTGTGTTAACCAGCTACGCCTCTGGCAGGGGAATCTGAACAGAACCAATCATACACTTGAATACATGTCAGTGTTTGAACAGCCATTCTTTTCTCAAAAAGAATAACATAAGTGAGACAAACATGCAAGAGAGCTACCACTGGCTTATGTTTTTACTCAGAACTAAACCCCTTCAGGAATTATGGACAACAACCACGTGACAATGTTAACTGGAGCAGAAGAGAGCAAGTGTTAGGAATGTGGGTGACATGGCTGACCGACATGTGCTCACACTGTGCTTCTTGCAGTGCACGGGAGCGGATGAGGCCTATTTTATAGCAAAGGAGATTCTCGCTACAGAACGAACATACCTGAAGGATTTAGAAGTTATTACCGTGGTATGGAACTCAAGTCCTTATTACTTTGATTTTCTTTTTTTTTTTTTAAAGATTTTATTGGGGAGTTGGGGGAGGGGAACAGCATTGGGGAATCGGGGAAGGGGAACAGACAACTTGCTGTCCTTTTGTTCTTCAGTCTAGCTGTGGAGGACACTGCTTCACTGGCCCATGTTGGTATTATGATCATTGCGCTCTTCCCAGGTGAGGCAGTCAGTCGCTGGCCATGAGACGGCCACTCTTGGCGGCTCTCGCAGGCTGCCGGCTGCTCACACTGGCTGCCAGCCACTCACGGTAGCTCACGGCAGTCCACTGCAGCCCCACTGCAGCCTACACTGTCGCCGGTGACTCACGGCAGCCCAGCTCCAGGTCGAGCTATTGTTCACAATCTTAGCTGTAGAGGGTGCAGCATCACTGGCCCTCATGTGGGATCCGAACTGATGGTCCTGCTGCTCAGAGGTCATGCTCCCAAGCCAACTCTTAACCAATTGAGCCACTCAGCAGGCCCCTACTTTGATTATCTTAATGCTTCTCAAATCTAAACCAAGGACAGAAGAGCCCTCGTAAGAAATAGCTCTTGGCCATCATGGGATCTAAGTGTACATGTTTGGTGAAATATATTTGCCTTAAAAACATGTTTAGGGGCAGCCGAGTGGCACGTTGGTTAAGAGCTGGCTTGGGACGCCAGCTCTGTGCATCAGGGCCCCGATTCGGATCCCACATGAGGGCCTGTGACACTGCCCTCTACAGCTAAGATGGTGAACAACAACTCAACCTGGAGCTGGGCTGCCATGAGTTGCTGGCGATGGCATAGGCTAAAAAAAAAAATGTCTAAGGTCAGAATGTTGTGTCCAGTTCTTCGTAAAGCTGGGAATGTATCCATTTGAAGCTTTTCATACAGGATTTTTTGCTTATATCGTGAAAATTTGGTGATCAACCAAGAGGACAGCTGTAGCACTGATTTGAGCTGTCCTCACAGGGACTCTGGGGTCAGTGCTTGATGTCCTATGGCCACAGACCCTCAGGGCTGAGCTCCTTCAGTCACCATGAACTCTTCCCGCAGTGGTTCCGCAGTGCAGTGGTCAAGGAGGACGCCATGCCAGCAGACCTGATGACCCTGGTCTTCTCCAACATAGACCCTATCTACGAGTTCCACAGAGGCTTCCTGCATGAGGTGGAGCAGCGGCTAGCACTCTGGTAATACCCTGCACACACGGGCCCTGGACCCCAATGTGGGCAGCCCCACGCTCTGGGCCCCTACGTGGGCAGCGCCACCCTCATCACCATCACTGCTTTCTGGAACTTCCTGGCTTCAGAAACTAATTCACAAGAACCATTATTTCATTGAAGTCTATTTTTAACACTTGTGGGGAGGAGTAGGCATGCAACAATCACTTTTATTCATCCTATGCCAGAAGAGTGAAAAAGAAAGTTAAAAGTCGATGATCCTGTTTTTGCCTGATTACCATCTTTCAAGAATGGCCAAAATGTAATCATTGTTTCTGTCAAGTACAGGCCTTCCCTGTGACGCAGCTCATTGCCCTCCTGGCTGTGACTAGAACAGCTGGTCACACTAGATCAACCGAAGTGAGTCTTACAAGATTTCATAAGATTTTGACCATGTTTTTCCATCTCAGGGAAGGACCTTCCAATACCCATGCCACAGACAGTCATCAGCGAATCGGGGACGTCCTACTCAGGAACATGCATCAGTTAAAGGTAGCTCGGGTTTGTGTGGTGACTCCAGGCCTAGCAACTGATGGTTTGAAACCAGCATACCCAGAGGATTGTGACCCTTCAGGATAGCATTTCCCTTAGGACAACATCCCTTCAGGGCAGCGTTCTCCTCAGGACAGCATTCCACTGAGGACAGTGTGCCCCTCAGAGCTGCATTCTTTTCAGGATAGTGTTCCCCACATGACAGCATTCACGTCAGGACAGCTTTTTCCTCAGGGTAGCGTTCCCTGCAGGGAAACATGCCCCCTTAGGACAGTGTTCCCCTCAGGACAGCACTCATCCCAGAGCACCGGTCCCTCAGTAAATTGTTCCCCTCTGGACACTGTCGCCCTCACAACAGTGTTCCCTTCAGGGAAGCTTTCCCCTCAGGACAGTCTTCCCCCTCAGGACATGTTCCACTCAGGACAATGTCTTCCCCAGGCCTCAATCTCCTCAGGACAGTGTTCTCCTAGGACAGCACTCCCCTCAGGAGCGGACAGTGTTCCCCTCAAAAACATTCCTGGCAAGACAATAACTTACCAGGACAGTGTTGCCCATAGCTGAGTTCCCCTCAGGACAGCACTTATGTCAGAGCAGCTTTTCCCTCAGGACGGTCTTCTCCTCAGGAGAGCATCCCTCTTAGAACAGCGTTTTCCTCAGGACAGTGTTCCCCTCAGAGCTGCATTCCCTTCAGGACAACATTCTTTTTTTTTTTTTTTTAAGATTTTATTGGGGAATTGAGGGAGGGGGAACATTGTATTTTTCCATGACCCATCAGCTCCAAGTCAAGTTGTCCTTCAATCTTAGTTGTGGAGGGCACAGCTCAACTCCAAGTCCAGCTGCCGTACTGGCAACCTTGTTGTTAAGAGCACGAGCTCTAACCAACTATGCCACCTGGCCAGCCCCCAGGAGAACATTCTTGACAAGACAACATCCTATCAGAACAGTTTTCCTCAGCTGAGTTCCCCTCAGGATAGTGTTCTCTTCAGGGCACCATCCCCCTAATAACAGTGTTTCTCTCCGGACAGCATTCCCCTCAGGACAATGTTTCACTCAGAGCTGCATTCCTCTTAGGACAATGTTCCTGACAAGACGACATCCTATCAAGACAGTGTTTCCATCAGCTAAGTTCCTCTCAGGACAGCACTCATTTGAGACCAGCTTTCCCATCAGGACAGTGTTTCCCCTCAGGACAGTGTTCCCCTCAGGACAGCATTACCTTTATGACAGCATTTTCTTGGACAGTATTCCCCTCAGAGAAATATTTCCCTCGGTACAGTGTTCCCCTCAGGACAGCATTACCTTTATGACAGCATTTTCTTGGACAGTATTCCCCTCAGAGAAATATTTCCCTCGGTACAATGTTCCCCTCAGGACAGTGTTCTCCTCAGAGCTGCATTCCCCTCAGAAGACAACATTCTGTCAGGACACTGTTTTCCTCAGCTGAGTTTCCCTCAAGATAGGACTCATCCCAGAGCAGCTTTTCCCTCAGGACAGTGTTCCCGTCAAGACAGCATTTCCTTCAGGACAGTTTTCTCCTCAGGAGAGTGATTCCCTCAGAAGAGCATTCACCTCAGGACAGCGTCCCCTCAGGACAATATTCTCCTCAGGACAGTGTTCTCCTCAGAGCTGCATTTCCCTCAGGACGATGTTTATAACAAGACCACATATTATTAGGACAGTGTCTCTGAGTTCCCTCAGGACGCATTTCCCTCAGGACAGTGTCCCTATCAGTACAGTGTCCCTCTCAGGACACTGTTCGCCTCAGAATAAAGTGCCCTGTCAGGACAATGTACCCTTCAAAACTGTTTGCCTCAGAGCTGCATTTTCCTCAGGACAGTGTTCCTCCCAGGACAGCACCCTTTACAGGAACATTTCCTTCAGGGCAGCATTCCCCTGAGAAAGGCATACAATTCAGCTCAGGGTTCCCTTCAGAGCAGTGTTCCTCTCAGGACAGTGTTCCACTCAGAGCTGCATTTCCCTCAGGACAGCATTTCTGACAAGACAACATCCTATCAGGACAGTGTTTCCCTCAGCTTAGTTCCAACCAGGGCAGCACTGATCTCAGAGCAGCTTTTCCCCCAGGACAGCGTTTCCCTCAGGACTGGATTCCTCTCAGGACTAGATTCCCCTCAGGACAATATTTATTACAAGACAGATCTTATCAGGACAGTGTTTCCCTCAGCTCGGTTCCCCTCAGGAAAGAACTCATGCAAGACCACCTTTCCCCTTAGGACAGTGTTTCCCTCAGGAGAGTTTTCCTCTCAGGACAGTGTCCCCCCTCAAGACAGTATTCCCCTCACAGCTGCGTTCCCCACAGGACAACATTTCTGACAATACAACATACCATCAGAACAGCCCCTTCCTCAGTTGAGTTCCCTTAAGGACAGGACCCATCTCAGAGCTGCATTCCCCTCAGGACAGTGTTCCTCCCAGGACACCACCCCTTTTACAGGAACGTTTCCTTCAGGGCAGCATTCCCTTAAGAACGGCATACGATTCAGGATGGCATTTCCTTCAGCTTAAGGTTTCCTTCAGAGCAGTGTTCCCCTCAGGAGATTGTTTTCCTCAGAGCTGCATTACCCTAAAGACAAAGTTCCTAACAAGACAATGTTCTACCAGGACAGCGTTTTCCTCAGCTGAATTCCCCTCAGGACAGCAGCTGTCTCAGAGCAGCATTCCCCTCAGGACAATATTCCTGACAGGACAACCTCCTGAGCTCCCTTCAGGACAGCACTCATCAAATACCAGGTTTCCCCTTATGTCACTGTTCCCCTCAGGACAATAGTCTTCTGAGGACAGTGGTTCCCTGAGAACAACATTCCCCTCAGGGCAATATTCCTGACAAGACAACATCCTATCAGGACAGTGTTTCCCTCACCTGAGTGCCCCTCAGAACACTCAGAGCAGCTTTCCCCTCAGGACAGTATACCCCTCAGGGCAGCATTTTCTCTAGGACAGTGTTTCCCTTCAATACAGCACTCATCTCAGAATAGCTTTGCCCTCAGCACAGTACTTCCTTTAGGACATTTTCTTCAGGACAGTGTTTCCCTAAGGACAGCATTCGCCTCAGGATAGTTTCCCCCTCATGAAAGTGTTCTCCTTAGGACAGTGTTCCCGATTAGACAATCTTTTATTAGGACCATGTTTCCCTCATCTGAGTTCCCCTCAGGAGAACACTCATCTAAGACCAGCTTTCCCCTCATGTCAGTGTTTCCCTCAGGACTTTGTTCCCCTGAGAGCATTGTTCCCCTCAGAGCTACATTCCCCTCAAGACAGAGTTCACCTCAGAGCAACAACTCCTTAGGACAGCATTTCCTTAGAGCAGGGGTCGGCAAATGGCGGCTCGCGAGCCACATGCAGCTCTTTGGGGACGTACATGTGGCTCTGAAGTAAAATTGAAAACGAAAATAAAACTATCATAGTTTCATTTATAAAATTCTTAAAGGCTATTATTCACATAATGGTGATTTCATTTGTTTTATGGCTCTCATATAATTTTTAAATTGTTGTGAGGCACAAGACTGGCTCTTCCGTCTCAAAAGTTTGCCGACCCTGGGGCCGGCTGAGTGGCTCAGCTGGTTAAGAGCTCGCTCAAGAGTTTGAGCTCTGAGCAACAGCGGCTCAATTCCCAGCCCGAGCTGAGCAGCCGCTGAGCTGCCAACAGGTAGCAGGATGGCTCAGCTTAAAAAAAAAAAAAAAAAAAAAAGTTTGCCGACCCCTGCCTTAGAGCATTGTTCTCCTCGGGACAGCATTTCCTTCAAGACAGTGTTCTCCTCAGGACAGCATTCACCTAGAGAAGTGTTTTCCTCAACACAGTGTCCCTTAGGAAAATATTTTCCTCAGAATAGAGCTCCCCTCGGAGCAGGTTTCCCCTCAGAGCATCATTTTCTTCAGAACTGCGTTCCCCTCAGGATAGCATTCCTGTCAGGACAGTATTTTTGTCAGTACAGCATCACCCTCAGTAGGGTGTTCCCCTCAGAGCCCATTTCTCATCAGGAAGTTACAATCCTCAGAGCGGCCTCAGAGAGGAAGAGTGTGCTGAGGGTTGGCTCCCTGAAACCTGTGCTGTGGCTCACAGTGAGTCATGAGCCCCTGGCCCGTGTGCAGTTTTGCTGCTCTTGCTGAGCTCAGCATTCTGGAGAGGCCTGTGTGGAGCCTGTCAGGGCTGTCATAGGGGTTTGTTTCCATTCTCCTTCTGGCCTCATAGTTCAGGGTTTTTCCCTGGAGGCGTTAGGGTTCCATAAAGGAAATGTGCCCGGGAAAGTGCCAAAGGGGTAACTCTAGGTAGCCCGGTCAGCACGTGGGCAAGGTGAGATGTCCTCTTGTCAGGACCAGTGTCACAGGTGTTGGAATCAGCAGGCTGTGCTTTCACTGTTCAGGGGTCTTGGTCTTGTGAAACAAGCCTGGGATGGGCCTGACCCACCCCCACGTCTGTCCTGGCAGCTTTGCGGCATCAGCCACGAAACTCTGGGGTCCCTCCCACCTCCGTCCCCCACCCACTTGTATCACTCCAAGTCCCCAAGCCTTCGCTGTTGTGCCCATTTGCTAGGCTGGCTACCATCTCCGTCCCAGGCCTGTCCCCCCTTTGACCCAATCCAGCCACACTCGTGACCGTCTTCCAGACCTCACTGCCTTCTTAGAAACCTGAGGGAGCTGCAGGATCACTTACTTCCGTTTTCAGATAGCCCCACCGGTTTTTACCCTGACATTCTTTTGGTTTTCTGAGCCAGGCGGTTATTTAGTAAGTTCTTTAATATTAGAAACCTTCCAGAAGATAGGGACTAACTGAGTCTGTCTGCGTAACATTCCAAATCCATACATGTGTGCACTTTGTACTGTCAGGAGTAAAATGTCAGGAGTAGACCTGGGTCGGCAAATGCTTTCCTCCACTCTGGAGTCCTGAGGGCAGAGCAAGAGCGCAGTTCGTTTCACCCTCGCCCAGAGCTCATGTTTGTGTCACACGAGGCGCCTTACAGCCCCCTCAGCCTCAGCTCTTCATCTGTAAAGTGCAGGGAAAGCCCTGTGTCCACTCACCACCTGAGACGTGCAGCCAGTCGGCAGTAAGTGCTGGTGAGCGGCTGTGGCCAAGCCCCCGCCCTCCTGTCTGCAATGAGGTTTGGCTGGGTGGCATCTCAGGGGGGGGCAGGATGAACTCCATGGGGGCTGGAAAGTCCCAGCTGACACACGCTGGGCCATTTTTCTCTGTTCTGCCCCATTGGAGTGTCCAGCTGGTAACTGACACCAACACCAGGAATGCCATCCAGACAGACAGGCTGTGTGCCACTGGACCCTCTCCCGGGTCTCCGAACCTAAAGTCCACCCTTTTGTGCCTCAACAGCAGTTTACCAGCTACTTCCAAAGGCACGACCAGGTCCTGACAGAACTGGAAAAGGCAACCAAGCGCTTCAGGAAGCTGGAGGCAGTGTACAGAGAGTTCGAGCTCCAGAAAGTCTGCTACTTGCCTCTCAACACGTTCCTGCTGAAGCCGGTCCAGCGGCTGGTGCACTACCGCCTGCTGCTGAGCCGGCTGTGTGGGTACTACGCCCCCAGGCACCATGACTACGCCGACTGCCACGGTGAGTACGGGCACCAGGCCCGTCCTGCTACGGCTGCCATGGCTGTGTGCTTAGGAGCCACTTTGGCAAATCTGAAGGCTTTGGCTCCCTTACCTGGGAAGCGCAGTGTGCTGGCTCCAGCCCCGAGGTCTGAGTAGGATGTGGGCAGGCCTGACCGCCACCCCCGGGCTGGTGGAGGGGAGAGGTCCTAGTCTTTAAGCCCCGCCACCTTGGGGCAAGACATAGGGAAGGACTGGTCACAGGGAGTGGGTGCTGTGACCAGGGAAGAGTCCCCACAAGTGCACCCTCAGGGTGACTTGCTGCCTGTGGGCATGTCTGTCCTGGAAGCCTTGCCTCCAAAACAAACATTTGGGCCAGGGTGGCCTGTTAAAAGTTTCTGACATAGATGTATTTTGTCATTTTTTTTTAAATTTGTGTTAAAAAGACAAAGGAATAAACCCTGACCTTTTCAACTTACAAATGTGACTTCTAATTGTAGTGTAATTTAGTGCAGGAAATGAGTTTATCAGAAGGTTTTTACAAGTAAACTTACCATTGTCATTGAAAGTATAAGATGAAAGACTAGCATTTCCTTCTCCCATAGTCTTAAGTGGGCATAAATAAGGTGCTTTTCTGATATACAAGAAACAGAATGAATCATATGATATTGACAACTCTCTTCTTCATTCTAAAAGCAAGTGTTGCGTGTTTGCTAAAAAGGAGAAGACAAAATTGTCAAAAACATTTCCAGGCATTTCCAAGGAAATAAATAAATGCAGCACATTTAAAATGCTCCCCATGGTCAGCCTTCTCCTGAAGTAGCTGTGGACGGGCAGTGCTGGGAAGTGGGGGTGGTCCCTCTCCAGGTCATCAGGGGAGGTCATGCCGGGCGCACTCTGTCAGGTTCTTCATCAGTAAAACCCATCGCATGGGCTGATGCCAAAACCAAATGAGGCTACATTTCTAAAAGTGCCTTGTAAATTGTTAACACAACATGGTATCGCTAACTGGCAACTAGACGGGTTTGCTTCAACCCCAGATGTCTCCAGAGGGCTACGAAAGCCCAGTTGATGGAGCTCAGCTGACCACAATGGTCAGAGCCCTTTCCCAGCACGGCACCCTCCCCAATTCCCCTCACAAGACAGCCTCTTGGGGGTGCAGATATTACCAGCCTTTTGGTCTTCCCAAGAGCTTGAGCTTGAACCTATTGAAAAAAGGGGGTACCTTTAGATTGGGGCTCAGAGAAGGTTGCCTTGTATCTTAATTTTGTCCTTTATTCAAATAAGGGTTTCCCAAGGGTTTGTTCCTGGGCCAGCCAGGTGCTAAGTGTGTGTTGACGATTTGTTAGCATCGCACTGATTCTGTGGAAACCCAGGCACAGGTGGCACTGTGGACAGCAGCCCTGCATCAGGCCTGAAGTGTGTCCACAGCTTCTGACAGCTTCCAAGGCCAGCCCAAGCGCCATGTGGAGCCCATGTGGCGGCAAAATCTTCCAGCCCTGCACTCCATGCACACACAGCATCTGAGAGCAAGGTGTCCCAGGGCGGACATGTGGGGTCAGCAACCTGCAGTGAATAAGCAGAGTGAAGAGAGTCCCTGCCAACAGCATGTCACTCAGACTTGAGCTGGGCCTGAGGGATGAAGACGCCTGGTGAGGGGCCGGAGCTCAGGAGTCTGCCTGGAGCCAACCCCAGGTGTCAGTACCTGTGGTGGCATCACCAAGGCTCTTAGAATGTGTCATTTATGAAGGAGTAACTCATCTCCCTATGTGCTTCCTTATATGACTTTATCTCAGAGCTGTGAGTCAGGTGTTGTCCCCTCCCCTGAAGAGGAAATGAGGCAGCGGTCATACAACCTCAGTCTAGCAGACTTTTGGTCTAGAACCGAAAAGGCAGGCAGAGCTGGGGAGGTGGACACCTGCCGTGGTTCATGGGACCATGAGGCACTGTAGCCAGGCCGTCAGCCGCAGTCCTGATAAGAAGATGCAGGGTCCCCATGAGTGGCTGCAACAAGGAGACAAGGAAGATGTGGTCACTGCACCCCTAGTCAGGACCAGGTCTGGCCAAACAGCTGTTCCCAGGGTGGCCTGGTCAGGGCTCTGAGGACCACTCTCGATGTCTGATTTTCTATCTCGTCTGAACATGTTTTCCTTCCTGATTCTAAATTTCTTTTGGGGGGAGGGGAACAGACAAGTTGCTGTCCTTTTGTTCTTCAGTCTAGTTGTGGAGGACGTCGCTTCACTGGCCCATGTTGGTATTGTGATCATTGCACTCTTCCCAGCTGAGGCAGTCGGTCACTGGCCATTGGACAGCGGCTCACGGCAGCTCATGCCGGCTGCCGGCGGCCGGCTGCTCACGCTGGCTGCCGGCCACACACGGTAGCTCACGGCAGCCCGCTGCAGCCCCACTGCAGCCTCCACCGTTGCCGGCCACTCACGGCAGCCCAGCTCCAGGTCGAGCAGTTGTTCACCATCTTAGCTGTAGAGGGCGCAGCGTCACCGGCCCTAATGTGGGATCCGAACCGGGGCCCTGCTGTTCAGAGCTGGCGTCCCAAGCCAGCTCTTAACCAACTGAGCCACTTGGCTAGCCCCCTGATTCTAAATTTACGTAACTTTGCTTGAATTATAAGATTAGCATCTGCTCCTCCATTCAAGGAGAAAATTACAATGCTTTAAAGGTGCAAATGATTTAGACTTTAAACTATAATAAATGATTTTCCCTAAAGAACAAATACTGTTTTGCCTGTAACATTAAATGGTTATTTACAAAGTCAGTTCTTTTTCCACGCCTGAGTCTTAGCTATTCAGCAGTGCAGGATGAACAAGTCCAAGTTTCAGGTCATGTGCCTGGTCGTCGAAAACCATGGGTGGTGGTCCTGTGAGGACTCGAATAGAATGTTTCTTGAATTAAAAGTGCCTTTTAAGGGCGACCAGTTGGCTCAGTTGGTTAGAGCACGGTGCTCGTAACACCAACGTTGCTGGTTTAATTCCCACGTGGGCCAGTGAGCTGCGCCCTGCACAACTAGATTGAAGACGATTTGACTTGGAGCTGAGGGGTCCTGGGAAAAACACACTATACCCCAATAAAGTTTTTTTAAATGCCTTTTAAAATGCCACTTCCTGGGCCGGCCGAGTGGTGCGATGGTTAAGAACTGGCTTGGGATGCACTAGGGCCCCGGTTCGGATCCCACATATGAGGGCCAGTGACACTGCCCTCTACAGCTAAGATGCTGAACAACAGCTCGACCTGGAGCTGGGCTGTGTGAGTCGCCAGCAACGGTGTAGGCTGCAGCCCCTGTGGCAGTGGGTTGCCATGGGCTACCGTATGTAGCCAGCAGCCAGCGTGAGCTGCCAGCAGCCGCAGTGAGCGGCCATCCAGAAGCCGGCGACTGATCTGCCTCACCCGGGAAGAGCGCAATAACGGTGCCAACTTGGGCCAGTGAAGCAACGTCCTCCACAACTAGACTGAAGAACAAAACGACAGCAACTTGTCTGTTCCCCTTTCCCCAATTTCCCAGTGCTGTTCCCATCCCCAATTCCCCAGTAAAAATCTTTAAAAAAAAAAATGCCACTTCCTGGCACAAAGTGGTAGGTGGGGGGTGTTCTCTATCCCACCCGTGACCCACCCGCCTGGGTGCCTATACTGAGAAGTCTCTTCGCACAGATGCCCTCAAGGTCATCACAGAGGTGACCTCCACTCTCCAACACAGCCTCGTCCGGCTGGAGAACCTCCAGAAGCTGACAGAGCTGCAGCGGGACTTGGTCGGCATAGAGAACCTCATCACTCCAGGCAGGGTGAGTAACTATTTGAGAAAATTTTCAAGCTGCTTACTTCATGGTTTTTTATTGAGATAATTCACATACCACAGAACTCATCCTTTCGAAGAGTGCCATTCAGTGGTTCTTAGTATATTCACAAGGTTGTGTACCCGTCACCACTATCTAATTCCGGAATATTCTCATTGCCAAAATAACCCCCATACCTGTTAGCAGTCACTCCATGCCTCTCTCCACTCTGCTTTGTCTGTGGATTTACCTGTTTGGCTATTTCCCCTAAATGCTGTCTTACAGTATGTGGCCTTTGTGACTGGCTTCATTCACTCAGCATCATGGTTCCCAGGTTCATTCATGTGGTGTGTTTCAGTGCTTCACTCCTTTATGTGCCTGAAGAGTACCCCCTTCTCTGGACATTTGTCTGCTGATGGAGACAGGGCAGTTTTCACTTTGGCTGTTGTGACTAGTGCAGCCGAGAACACTGTGTACAAGTCTTTGTGTGGACATGTGTTTTCAACTCTGGGTATCCTAGGAGCAGGATTCTTGAGTCATGGGGTAATTCTATGCTTAACATTTTGAGGAGCTACCAGAGTTTTCCAAAGGGATTGCACTGTTTTACATTCCCGCCAGGAGTACTGGGGGTTCGGATTTCTCCTTATCGCCTCTGTCTTCTTGATTCTCACCATCTGGTGGTCAGCATGTCCCTGATGGCGAACATCATGCATCTTTATGTGTTTATTGGTCATTTGTTTGCCTTCTTTGGAGAAATGCCCATTCAGACCCTCTGCCTACCTTTGAATTGGCTTTCTGTCTTTTTCCTTTGAGTTGTGAGATTCTTTATCCACTGTGGATGCCAGACGCTCACCAGAGTATTATTTGTAAATGTTCTCCTGTTTGGTGGGTTGTCTTTTCACTTTCTTGATGGCATCATTTACAACATGAAAAGTTTTAATTTTGATGAAGCCTAGTTTATCTGTTTTTTTCTTTTGGTTGGTGTCATAGCTAAGAACCCATTGCCTAATCCAAAGTGTGAAGATTTACCCCTGTGTTTTCTTCTAAAAGTTGTATATGGTTTAGCTCTTACATTTAGATTTGATCCATTTTGAGCTCATTTTTGTAGGTGGTATGAGGTAGGGGCTCAACTTCATTCTTTTCCATGTGGATGCCCAGTTGTTTCCACACCGTTTGTTCAACTGTCTTCACACCCTTGTCAAAACTCAATAGGCCATAGATGTGTGGGTTTAGTTCTGAACTCCCAGTTGTGCCCCAATGGGCTGCTTACTTTCTGTCACTAATGCCTTTTGCTTTGAACTCAGTACTGTCCACATAAGGCAAGTGCTCTAAGGGTTGCATGGGGATGTTTCCTGTCAACACAAACACACATGTAATGGAGTATAGATGTGTAAGTTGTGTTTCTGTGTGAGCCTGGTAGGAGCTACCGAGAGTGTGGGACCACGAGCTCAAAGAAACGAACTAGGACGGAAACACCTGTAGGGTCTGCCCTCCTGGAGTCGGGGCTTCCGGGGCCAGGACATCTCCGTTTCATGTCTCTCCTTGTCTGTGCAGCTCTGAGTGATGCTGCTGGCTGCAAGCTCCTGGAGGCCGGCAGGGCTCTTATTACACATTGTTGCTTCTCCTAGCGCCCCATGCAGTGACATACAGGTGTGGCCGCAGGGAACTGTCACTAAAGGGACAAATAAACAAAAGCAAGTAGCCCCACAGAGCAGGGGCCGTGTGGGCTCTGGGGACAAGGCTGGAGTTGCAGCTCTCTTTGGCCATGCAGCCTGGGCCCCACCTCTCTGAGCCGGAGGGTCCCGGGTGATGGCACGGACACTGACGTCAGCTGCTCGGCCAGCGCCTTGCATGAAGTAGCTGCGCTGTAATGGTTGTTATTAGTCAAAGCTCCAAAGCCCCTCTTCACACCCAGGGTTCCTGGTCCCCCTGAGTTATGTGTGTATCAGTCAGAGACAACCCACAGCAGGTGTTTCAGCAGAGGCATTTCAGAGCAAGGCTTGTCAACCAGGTAGAAAGTGGACAGCGAGGTGAAAGGTAAGAAGAACCATGAAGTATCAAGGGGGCGAGCTGTGGAGCAGGTCCCACGAGGGCCAGGGAGGGTGCCGAACCCAGTGGGGACTACGCCTGTGGACCTGGGGCTGCTGCTCGGGCTCCTAGGGGCTCTGCGGGGCAGTGAAGATGGCTCTGTAAGGGTGACGTGCTGCTCCAGCCTCGCGGTCCTGTCGCCTGTGGGAGCAGCACCAGCTCCGGGTTTGGAGTGAGGACTGGAGCTTAACAAGCGGCCCAGCCCAGCTGTGCAAGGGCGTTTGCGTACCTTCCTAGTTTTGTGGGGCTACTGCCTCGGTTTGGGCTGGTTTTCATCTTGCCGTGTCTGGATCTGTCCAGACTTCCTGTTTGTGCTTCACACAGTTCCTTTGAGGGCTGCTGTGGCAGGATCTTCACACGTGTTCTCAGGGCACGAAGTTCATGCACCTACTTGTCTGAAAGGAATAATAGGCAGTAAAAGGTCTCCAGAAACTGTCCAAACCGAAAGTCTTTGGGGTTGCCAGGACACTCACTTTCCACCCTCAGAACGGGTCGTTGGGGCCTGTTTGATATCTGTGCCCTCAGAGGCAGAGGTGCAGGGCCTGGACTGGCAGTGCTCCGGGACAGATGGGGAAACACAAGGATGTCCCCAGGTGCTGGGGACGCATTCAGGCTCTGGAGGGAGGGGCAGAGCCCTGTGGCTCTTCCTTTGCGGGCCCAGCCCTCCTCTTTCCACAAGACTGCGCGGGACACAGTATGGATGGCCCTCCAGCGGCTTCAGCCCCGCTAGCACCCCTGTGCTTCGGCTGTGACACCATTGAACACTAGGGACACTCTGTCCAAATGCAGCGCAGCTGCTAACCCGCATCACCGGCCAGCACTTGGTGGGGCCGGGTGCTCATCCTCCTCCCTCTTGTCCTCAAGCTGCTCCTGCCCAGTTTTTCCCAAAGCTGAGCCCAGATGGCATCTCCATGGCTGGACCTTCCACGAGCTTCTCCTCAACAAGAACCGTGCCCTTTGCTTTACATGGTGGCCCCCAGCGTAGCCAGCCTGCAGAGTGAGACGGCTTCAGGTACTCGGCAGACAGTCTGGGGACTGAGTTAACCCGGACAGGACCCGGGTGACCCAAAGGAGCAGGCAGGAGACAGGAAGGTAGAGAGGCACGGAGGGTCCTTGGGCGTCTGGGCAGGAGGGCGCCGCTGAACCCAGGCCTCCTCCGATGGTCTCAGAGAAGCACAGATGGTGACCTCGTCCTGTCTTGCAGGAATTCATCCGCGAGGGCTGCCTTCACAAGCTCACCAAGAAGGGCCTGCAGCAGAGGATGTTCTTCCTGGTAGGTGGGATGCCAGTGGTTCTGTGAGGAGAGCTGTGCCACCACGTTGGCCAGCTGGGCAGCCCCAAGTCAGACAGGAGCAGGTGAGGGTGGCAGGAAGCAGCTCTGGCCCGCCGCCTTCCTCATCCTGGCTTGTGGGCACCTGTGTGTGGGACGAGCGTAAGTCAGAGGCCTGAAAAGCGCACGCACCTGTAGCTGCAGGGCTGACTGCTCCTGCCTGTGGCCAGCTCGAAGGGTCTTGCTCTCCAGCTTTGACCCGGGAGCCGAGGCCCTCCCAGGGAGTCCCTGCTGCCACCAGGTTTCCTTTTATTCACTCCCTTCTCACATCCTGTCAGTAGATTCAGACTTGAGCCATTGGAATGAAGGGTAACTGGCCCGAGATGTCTGCTGCATCATGTGGTTACTAGTTACCTCTAGTCAGAAATGATTGTATGAATGAAATGTAAACCCCTTTTTTGCCAAAAATCTTCAGCAGGCTGACTAGATCCTATAACCCCATAAGGGCCATTGGAGCTGGAGTTTATCTGACAGTTAGGACGTTGAAACCTTGTTACTTGTTTTTGAAACGTGTTAATCTAAAGCTTCCCTGCTCAGTTCTCAGATATGTTGCTGTACACAAGCAGAGGTGTCTCGGGGACCAGCCACTTCCGGATCCGAGGCCTCCTTCCACTCCGCGGCATGCTGGTAAGTGTTGCGACGGGGCTGTGGGGGTCAGGCCTGCTGCCTCAGAGCACTGCCGGGCTCTTCACTCTGTTTCCACCTGTTGTGGTTACCCTGACGCCCTTCCAGGGCCTTCCAGACCCAGCCCTGGGGTCATTGCCAGCATCTGCTCACCTTGTCCACCTGCCACATGCCCAGGGAGCCCTGTCCCTTGTGGGAGACACAGTGAAAGACCCCAGGCGGGCACTGGGGCCACTCTGCTGCTGGAGAGCTAGGGGCTGACACAGCTTTTGAGAGAAAACTGAACCACCAGTTCTTAAAATTGTAGAGTTTTTACTTTTTTTGCTTTTACATGTGTATCTCCTTTCACTGACCATTTTTTGTTCTTCGTGGCATCATAACTAGATGTTACACACATACACAGGCACAGCTTTAAATGGCCAGACACCACCACCACTTGTGAGAGGGCAGCCGCAGTGCATGACGAGCTCGGGCGCTCCCAGGGTGTCTGGCGCCCAGTCTCTTCCCTCCACATCATGTGTTAGGTCCCTCCGCTGAGTCCGCTGCGTGGCCTTGGCCTCATGAAGAGTAACAAGCTCTGTGTCCGCTGCCTTGTTGCACCTTGGCCATTAGCGGTTCTGCTGTCCTGGGAGCACTGTGCGCACCACACGTCTGTGGGGGTATGTCCATGTCCCCCACCATCACAGGCGTGACTTACCCTATAATGTCTGTGATGAGCAGAAATTCTTCATTTTAATGTGATCCAGTTTTTAGGTCTTCTCCTTTGTGGTCAGTGCTTTCTGTGGCCCAATGAGGACACTGTTTGAAAGTCATGGAGAACCCTCACACACACATCCATGTGCTCTCCGTTTGCCCTCCACTGTAAGCCTACATTCCACCTGGAACCCATCTTTGGGAGCAGCAAATGTAGAAGACCAATTTCAGGTTTAGCCATAAAGTGTGCCATCGGCCCAGGGCACCTCACTGCAGCGAGCACCCCCCGCCGCGGCCCTGCCAGGCCTCCTGTCTGGGTGTCCATGGGTGGGGGCCTGACCACACTCTGCTCTGTCGTGCTTGGCCTGCCTGTCCCAATTACCGCAGCCCAGAGCAGTGTCCACCAGTGTTTTTCAAGGGCACCTGGCCCTTCTCGGCCCTGAGTGCCTCAGCACGGCCCCGCCTGCCAGCGAGCATCACAGCCTTCATGGGCGTCTGACAGGCCATTTAGCTTCTTTAGCTCTCAGCAAGGAGAATCAGTTTGAAAGAGCTCATCTGGGGCCTGCTAAGTGGCTCAGTTGGTTAAGAGCTCGCTCAAGAGTGTGAGCTCCGAGCAACAGGGTCGCCGGTTCAATTCCCAGCCCGAGCTGACTGCCACTGAGCTGCCAACAGGTGGCAGGATGGCTCAGCTAGGAAAAGAAAAAAAAAAGAGCTCTTCTGCCATCTCTGGAAGCAGATTTTAAAGTATCCTTTTAAAAATAACATTTTCATTGTAGAAAAAAATAACTGAAAATGTAAAACGAAAATAACTCACAATTATACCAGCCAGTAATGAGTAGTCGGCCTTTTGCGACATGCCCTCTGGTTTCAAGTGTGGATCAGTGTTTTACGGTCACAGTGGACCCAGCTTTACAAGCAGTTTCGTAATCTGCACTGGTTTCGTTCAGCACTTCGTCATGAACCTCCTCTCATGTCTCCTGTGCTTCTGCCACCTCACTGAGTAGAGATGGGCAGTGGATCGGGGAGCCAGGCCCCAGCTGGTTTACTTAACTGGTTCCCTGCACTGGGCATACTGGCTGATCTAGTTCTTCAGAATTAGAAATAACACCATTGGATCTGTTTTTCTACACATCCTTAATTATGGCCTTGAGATAAATTCCAAAAGGCATTGTTTGAGCATAGTATACACTTGGTTTCATGGTTCGAGTATGACTGCTACCTGGCCGTAGCACCATTTGACCATCCCAATGAGCGCATCGGAACCTGCGTCTTTCCCACGGCCTTGGGGAGCACTGGGGATGCTGCCTCCTCTTTTCCAGTTTGGAAAAGAGCCCTGGGCCAGTGCTGGGCCAGCCAGCAGGCCAGCTGAGTCTGTCTCCTGGCACTCTGTGCCCTCCCTCTAGGAGGTACTCGTGCATGTCTGTCACTCTGGTCTCCATGGTCTGTTAGCTTTTCATACACATCTGTGAAACATTTATAAAGATGCCAGCCAACCCTCACAGGTCACAGATGCTTTTCCCAGTCGGTGATTCCTTTTTCCTCTGCCTGCAGTTTGGTTTAACCTTGTAGAATTTAGACTCCATCTGGACGGGGACTGTGTTTGTCTTGTTCCTAGATCAGCATCTGGCACATACTTGTTGAAGGAGTGAGTATGCACGTTTTTATGTAGTCAGATCTGCCCATCTTTTCCTTAAGGGCTCGATACCAGCTCAAGAAGTCTTTTCTCATTTAATTAATCTACCTAAAATGTTTTGTTGGATATTATCAGATTGGTATGTAACATTTCCTACACATTGAGGTTGGTTTCCCATTATTCGTTGGATCCTTCATTTTCTCACTGACCTCAGAAGCTGCCTTTACCATATAAACAGCCAGTTGGCACACTTGGATTCTTTCTGGGCATTCTGCGTCATTCCTCTGCCCCAGTATCAGCCCCCACTCTCCCAATTTGTGGTATTATATGGGTGAGTAAGTCTCACCCCTTGTTCATCCTCCATTTTAAAAAGTTTTTTTGCTGTTCTCAAGTATTCTTCTAAATAAATTTTAGAATCATTTGGACAAACTCCTTCAAAAACCATCATCAGGATTTCTATTGAAATTGCATTACAGTCATGCGTCGCTTGATGACAGGAGTTATGTTCTGAGAAATGTGTCATTTGGTGATTTTGTCATTGTGTGAACTCTACAGAGGCAGGTACACACCCAGATGGCACAGTCTCCCACACATCTAGGCTGCATGGGACAGCCGCTGCTCCTGGGCCACCAGCCTGCACATTACAGTAGTGAATACTGTACACAATCGTGAGACAATGCTAAGCATTTATAGATCTAAACATAAAAAGTACAGTAACAGGCCGGCCGAGTGAAGCGTTGATTAAGAGCTGGCTTCGGATGCCAGAGGGCCCAGTTCGGATCCCACATATGAGGGCCAGTGACTCTGCCCTCTACAGCTAAGATGCTGAACAACAGCTCAACCTGGAGCTGGGCTGCTGTGAGTCGCCGGCAACGGCGTAGGCTGCAACCCCTGCTGCAGTGGGTTGCCATGGGCTACCATAAGCAGCCAGCAGCTGCTGTGAGCGGCCGTCCAGAAGCCAGCAACTGATCTGCCTCACCCAGGAAGAGCACAATGATGGTGCCAACTTGGGCCAGTGAAGCAACATCCTCCACAACTAGACTGAAGAACAAAAGGACAGCAACTTCTCTGTCCCCCTTCCCCCAATTCCCCAATAAAAATCTTTGAAAAAAAAAAAAAAGTACAGTAACAATATGGTATAAAAGATAAAAAATAATAGGGGGGTGGGGTGAAGATAAAAAATGGTTCACTTGTGTAGGGCACTTATCATAAATGGAGCCTGCAGACTGGAAGTTGCTCTGGGTAAGTGAGTGAGTGGGTGAATGGGTGTGAAAGCCAAGGACATGACTGTACACAAATATAGACTTTATAAACACTGCACACTCTGGCTACTGTAAACTTATAAATAAAGCAACATGAGATTAAATCAAGCACAAGAGAAAATAATGCAACCAAAAGACACAGTAGGGACCAGCTGAGTGGCTCAGTTGGTTAAGAGTGTGAGCTCTGAGCAACAGGGTTGCTGGTTCAATTCCCATGGGCCAGTGAGCTGCACCTGAGCTGAGCTGCCACTGAGCTGCTGCTGAGCTGCCAACAGGTGGCAGAATGGCTTAGCTGGTGAGAACACGTGCTCCTAACAAGGTTGCTGGTTCGACTCCCGCATGGAATGGTGGGCTATGCCCACCCGCAACTAAGATTGAACATGACACCTTGAGCTGAGCGGCCGCGAGCTGCTGACAGGTGGCCAGATGACGACTGGACTTGGAGCTGAGCTAGCTGTGCCCTCCACAACTAAGACTGAAGGACAACAACTGGGCTGTTCCCCTTCCCCAATTCTCCAATAAAATCTTTGAGAAAAAAAAAAAGATACAGTAAACATGAAACATGAGGCTATTGGTGGTATAACAGCACACTGTGTTATAGCAAACTTTTTTTTAATCGTAGAAAGGGTACACTCTAAAATAACGATGAAAAGTATATCATAGTAAATACATAAACCAGTAGCATGGTCGCTTGTTATCATCATCAGTGCACATACTGTACGTAACTGTATCTGCTACACATTTATACAGCCAGCATCACCTCAAGATGCGTGAGGAATGCGTTGTGCTAGGACGTTATGACAGCTGTGACGTCTCTAGGCAACAGGAATCTTTCAGCTCCATTATAATCTTATGGGACCATCATCATATATGCGGTCTGTTGTTGACCAAAGCATTGTTATGTGGTGTGTAACTATAAATTTACATATTAACTTAGGGAAAGACTAACATTTTGACAACCTTCTCCTGCTGGCCATTGTTCATGTTAATTTCAGATCTTTTATGTCCAGTGTAAGGCTCAGTGGTTGATGTCCATAGGCCCTGCACAGGGAAGCTGTCTATTCTGTGAGGTGATCTGTAACTGGTTGGTCCTGGGAAAGGATGATGGCTCTTGGCTTGAGGAAGATCATCTTTATTGTGTTAACATAGCTTCCTTTTGTTTCTAAGAGATATTATCAGAAATAACATGTTAGATTTAAACAATGTGTTTTCAGCATGTAGAGAAATGATCACTTTTTTCCCTTTAACTTTGATACAGGGTTATTTGTGTTATCAGCTTCCTAATGTCAAACCATCCTTGCATTCCTAGAACAACCTTGGTCATAGGAAAATTTCCTGTCTGGGCTTTTAGGTTTGATTAGGTGACATTTTATTTTGGAGTTATTTTATTTAGTCACTTATAACTGAGATTAATCTGTATAGGTTTTTCTCTGAACCTAAGTTGGTTAGGTTTTGTTACCAAGTTTTTAAGATTAATTGTCCAACTTTCTTTTTAGTAATGATAACGCTCAACATTTTTTCCTGTGCTTGATTTTCAGCTAATAGTGCTGGACCCACCGGTGAGTAGTTGGGTGCTCTGTGGCCCACAGCTCATCCACCTGGGTGGCAGGTGCCATGGCATGGGGACCCCTCGTGCCTCCCGTAGTTCCTTGTAGTCAGTGTTGACTTGGACAGCACAGAGCTTCCACGTCACCTGTGTTGTCCTTCAAGCTTGGCTTCAGCCAGCCTTTCTCCTGGTCCAGACTTCTACCTCTTTTCTCACCCACAGGTAGAAGAAAGCGAGAACGAGTGGTCTGTTCCGCACTGTTTCACCATTTATGCAGCTCAGAAAACAATTGTGGTGGCAGCCAGGTAAGGACCTTCCACATTCGCATTCCAGTGGGCCCTGGGGACCCAGGAGTGGGGGTCTCCGTGTCACGACCCAGAGTCCCCTCCAAGTTGTGGGAGTGTCACGGCCTCAGGTATAGGAGTGACATGTGCCCCTAAGCACTGCTTCTCCACTGGTGGGGAACTTGGGGGAAGCCTGACTTGAGAACGTCCCCACAGACATTGTCTGTGGTGCTGCCAAGGTGCTCCCTGCATCTTCATAGCACTCAACAAGAACGGGCCTGGAGGGTGGTCGGTCTCCAGGGCATGAGCACGTTCAAGGCGAGCGGCAGCGCCAGCGGGCTAGTGGGAAGGGCCTGGCCGGGCAGCCCCACCTACATCCCGATTGGGCTGCAGCTCAGGAGGAGATGGCCACTTTCCTGCTTGCCCACATCAGAGCAACAGGAAGGAGACCTGAGCGCCAAGGCGAGAGGGACAGCCCCACCTCGGTCATCAGCATCGTGCTGTGCTCAGTCCCTCCCCTGCGAGAATCAGGTGTCCCCTGTGCATTTCTCCTTCTCCTGGGCGGGCATCCGACTCTCAGCTTCCACCCTGCCTTGTCCTGGCCGCCGTCAGAGAGCACCAGACACGTAACTGCCAGGGACCTTGGCAGCTTAGTAATGAACCAGGAACCAATCTTGTATCTGAGCACCAGACTTAACCTTGTTTCTGGAACGAACTACCCTGTAGAGAACCCTGTTCCACACCCCCCAGCAGCTCCCAGGAGGATGCAGGCTGGGCTGCCAGCAGCATTTCCCACAGCCCCCTGGACCCACAAGGCAGGGTGCAAGGGGATGACACAGGGACCCCGAGCTGTCCCCGAGAGGTTGGCGCAGCAATGTGCCCTCAGCCGACTCTGAGCCTCGGTCCTCCCCTCACAGCACTCGGCTGGAGAAGGGGAAGTGGGTGCACGACCTGAACACCGCAATCGAAGCGGCCAAGGGCGGCAGTGACATGACCCCGGCGCTGCCCAGCAACGTGGTGTGCGCTCCTGCCCGCAGTGAGTCCTGGCCAAGACCCCCGGGAGCCGCCCACTGCGCCTAAGGAAGCTGTTCTGTAGCCTGGTTTCCTTGGTCGCAGTCGGCCTGCTAAGCCCATGCTCCTTTCACAAGGAACGTTCCAGGCTGTGCCCGGGGAGGTGGGGGGGAAGGGACCTCAAATTTTTCTGGCAGAAGCACCGTGTGGTTTTGCTCTCTGCCCACCCGTGGCTAGGGCACAATGGCCCTCCTGGCGCGCTGGCCCAGGGTGGCCCGTGGCCTCTGAGCAGAGGGCTGTCTTCTCCCGCAGGATCCTCCGACGAGGCCTCTGTGGAGCAAGAGTCAGAAGACGATGCTCGCGGCCCCCACGGCTCCTCGGAAGCGCAGGGCCAGCTCCGGGGCAACACCACGGTGCACGTGTGCTGGTACCGCAACACCAGTGTGTCCAGAGCTGACCACAGTGCTGCCGTCAAGGTGCGGCACCCTCTCTGCTTGTGCTGGCTGCTGGGGAGGGGACCCCGGGGGTCCCAGGTGGCAGGGCTGAGCTGCGTCCTGCTCTCTCCCTTGGGCAGAAAGTCACTTTGGAAAGGACCCTCAGGCAGAGCAGCTCAGGGTTTGCCAGGGCTGTGGGTGTGTGCCGGTAAGAGCCAGGATGGTGGTGTCCCCAGGGCTCTCAAAAGGGCCTGTCACCAGCGGTTGTCACCTCTCCTATGCCTCCATCACCTGGAGTGTCCCTTTGGACTCCAGCCACTCACTGCTCAGGTTGCCTCCCACTCAGTGTGGTTTTGAGCTTCTGTCGAACCTGGGGCTGGGGACAGTGGGTCTCGACATGTAGGGTGCATGTGACAGGGGGAGTATGTCCCCAGCAAGCCTGGGGCAGACGCCCTTGACACCTCCTCAGCCACCTGTCAGTGGGTGCAGGCCTGGGTCATGGAGACGGCCCTGTTGTGCACGGATGTGCTCGGGTGAGGGTACAAGGACAGAAGTGGTGGCAGCGGCCAGAGGGCGGAAGGGGTGGCAGGAGAGGGACACTGCAGAGCACAGGCCTGCCCTGGCAGGACGCCCACCTCAGCTCCACGCTGAGAGGGCAGCTCAGGCCTCCCCTGGCGGAGTGGATGGCACACCAGTTGGACACCCTCTTCAGGCCTGGGGGTCCATGCCTCCCGCCACATGAAAGAACCTTCCAGACTTGGCCCATGTGATGTGTTACAGCATCCTCTCTTCACTGGGGATTTGCGATGTGGCGGGGGAAAGACTTGGTAGCTTAACTACTGAGGAGCAGTTTTGCTGCAGGTAAAACCGAAGCCACAGCCAGGAGGCCTGTGTGGGCGGCCTGCATGCTTGGGGAGGCCGTAGGACGACCAAGCTAGGAGGGTGACCGCTCTGGGGGCTGGGATCTCGGGACCCTGATGCCCTTACTTATGCTTTTCCTTTTCTTTCAGAACCAGCTTTCAGGTTATCTGTTGAGAAAATTCAAAAACAGTAATGGCTGGCAGAAGCTCTGGGTGGTTTTCACCAATTTCTGTTTGTTCTTCTACAAAACTCACCAGGTAGAGTATCTTAACTGGAGCTGGGAAACCCAGGGCCCCCTTGGCTGCATGTGGGGGGGAGGGGTGGGGGCCAGGGAGCGCTCACAGAGCCATCCCCGGGCTGTCCTGTGCCACCCTCAGGACGACTACCCTCTGGCCAGCCTCCCACTGCTGGGCTACAGCGTGAGTGTCCCTGGGGAGGCCGACGGTATCCACAAGGAGCACGTCTTCAAACTGCAGTTCAGGTCCCACGTCTACTTCTTCCGAGCTGAGAGCAAGTACACGTGTGGGAGGTGAGTTCAGGGGCTGCTGAGGGAGGGCTGGGCGCAGGGCCAGGGTGCCAGCTGGCCCATCTGATACCACTTCAAATACTTCACAGTAAGTATTTGAGCACAAGCCCTGGTCTGATGGCCAGTTTCCCAGGTGGGCATCCTGGGGTGCTGACAGGCCGCCCTGTTCTCCAGGTGGATGGAGGTGATTGAGAGAGCCAGCAGCTCGCCCGGGAGGGCCGGGCCCCCCGAGGAGGAGGCATGAAGCCCATCCTGCCCAACGAGGGAGCAGAGCGGGTCAGCACATGCCCGACTACTTGTCCTGTCTTCCCAACAACAGACCAGGGTGGTCCTCACAGTGACATCTGGGGGGGCATCGATCCCCTCGAGACCCAGTTCAGTCCCTGGGCAGAACATGCACGCAAGTGGAGCCGCAGGCCCAGCTCCTGTGTGGTGACCTAAGGTGGCAGTCCCCGGCCCTCTTCTCCTCCAGAGCAGGGTCCCGCTGGGGACTGGCTCCGCCTCAGCTGACATGTGCTGCGCTCAGGCCCAGCTGGCCTTTCCTTCCTCAGTCTCAGTCAACCAGGGGCAGAGCACAGGCCTCAAGACCAGCAGCCAGGCTGGTGTCCACCCACACACCTCTGGAGAGGTAGAAACCGAAGTTCCCACGTGACCCTGGGAGCACGAGGGCCTGAGTCTCAGCACCCGTGTTTCGTAACAAGTGCAAGCCCACGTGTGCGCTGTTCATGCAGACGTGTGGCTAAAAATAAAGGGCATCTCCCCGCGCCTGCATACCACCCTGTTCAGTCTGGGGTCACCCCAAGGTCACCGCATGCTAGGACAAGGATTCAGAAGCCAGAAACTGGGCACTCCAAGGGGCAGACGGGGCAGTCAGGATGCTACCCACCACCAGTACATTTCCAAGTCAGGTCTTTATTAAAGTGGCAGGAGCCTCTCGACGTTCTACAAAAACTAACACGGTAACCTCAGGCTATACAGGGAAGGGAGGAAGTTCGGTTTTCTTAAACAAAGCATTCTGGCTGACGCGTGCTTACGAGAAGACACGATCTGACACCACAAGGCAAATGTGTGGCCACCGTGGGCCAAGTGGGGACAAAGGCTCACCTGCCCGACAGTCTCCACGCATCAGTCTGAGCGGCCGCCCCACCAAGGGGGGGCTGGACAAGACGGCCCGCCGCCTCCATGGGGCTGCTTGGCTCCCCATGGGTCTTTGCGGCGAGAGGGGGAGTGGGACAGCCCTCTGCACAGGGTGGGGGGCCGTGAGCCCACAGTGAGGCCCACAGGGCGTGACACAGCTCAAGGGGTTCCAAGTCAGCCAGATCCTTGCAGGGCTCAAAACAAAGACCCTCCTGTCTGCTTCCACCGACAGCAGCCTCAGCGGGTGGACGTCAGGTGGTTTCTGTTGTGTGAGAACCTAGGAGAGAGGCCCTGTCGCAGCTCCTGCCCAGTGCAGGCCCTGCAGGAAGCCGCCGGGTGGTGCGGCCCCACTGTGGGCAGGAGGCCCACCCGCCCCTCCCCAGCCCTCAGAAGCAGGTTGTCGTCCCCCTCACCTCTGCACCCGCTCCACCAGGCGAGCCATCAGCTTGTCCGAGATGCCGGGGCAGGACTCCTCAGCCAGGCTGAAGGCGTTCTCCAGCTCCTCCAGTGCCCCCACGCCTCCGCCGCTCTGCCTGTGCTTCTCCTTGAGCTGTGGAGGGCGGCAGAGGGGACCGAGTAAGGCCATGGGTGGAGGCACCCAACAGGACCACTGACTGGGAGCTGATCCCACACTTGCCTGGTCAGAGGCTCATGCTGGACTTGTATTTGGGGGTCCCTGGCAGCATGCCTCTGCCTCCACCCCCCACCAGAGCCCTTCGTGGTCCTTCCACCACCAAGCTAAGGACGGCTGGTCACGCCGAGGGCTCTGGTTGGGAGTTCAGCCACCTGAAGGCAGATGCTGCCCCTCGGGGGATCGGGGAATCTCAGATCAAGGTTCTCAAGTGGGGCCCGGCTAACCACAGGGCTTCCCCCCAATTGAGGGTCACAGAAGCTCTCAGCTCTGGTCCAGCGAGCTTAAGAAAATAAAGCCCAGAAACTCCCAGAGTGCACTGTACAGGCACACTGCCAGCTCTGACCCTCCAGGCTACAGGGCGCCAGCAGTCCCCTCAGCCCCTGCTGCTCCAAGCTGTGGGGACCAACTAGAAGAAGCCCCACCCTCCAGCTGACCTGGGGGACGGGTTCCACACCGGTCAGCATGGTCCTCCCTGCCACACCCCCGCACGCTGACAGAAGCATGCCTCCCAGGACAGCGTATGCAACAGCCCTGACCTTCGGCCCAGCCCACAGAATCGGGAGCCCCAGGCAGTGCCCTCGCCAGCCTGGGTGGGGCTCCGCTTCCCTAGCGAGCTCACTACAGCGTGGAGGCTGGCAGCCTCAAGGCGGTCCACTGCACATGCTCAAAGCAGCCCTGGGAGATGCCAGCCAGGCCGCCTTCTCCAACACCTGCCACCTCCCCATGCTCCACCCCATGTGGGGCCCAGTGTGAGAACCAGCCTGTGCTCCAACTGTCCAAGCAGAGCCCCACAAGCTCCCACAGTGCAGCCCCAAGTGTCCCCAAGGTCACAGTCCCTCTGCCCCACCAACTCTACCCAAACTCCTCGCCCCCGAATTCCAGGCTCCTGGGGGCTGGAGCACGCCTGCCTGTGCCCAGATGCCTCCACCTTCCTCACGGAGGCTCTGGTGCCTCCATATTCTCACATCCTGGATCCCAGATGCCGCTGTCACTTCTGGGTGGGAACTGGTCCCATGACCTAGTGACAGCCCTGAGTCCAGGGAGTGGGAGCTGCCAGTACACCATACTCCTGGGGAAGCTACTGACGTGACAAACACCGGGTCACGTGACCACTGGGAGTCAGTCGCCCTTGAGCCCCCCGCCTTGGGCCTGATGCCCAACACCAACAGCTAGACCTGCTGGCTCTTCTGGTTACCCCCGCATTTGCAGTTCAGAGTTACCCTGGGACCCCAAAGGACACGATCAGGAACTGGAGAGGGTCCTGTCAGGGCAGTCTGTCCCAGCCATTTCTAGTCCCCCCCGCTCAGGAAGCCCGGCCCACGAGTCAAACCACAATGGGCTCTGCAGGACCTGGAAACCCCATGTGCCAGGCGGGGCTGGCCAGCCCACGTCATTGCAGTGCTACAGCCCCCTGCCCCACAGGACCCCCAGCCTAGCCCTCACCTCTCCAAAGACAGGCCGGACCAACGTGGACAGGCACTGGGACCTTGGCTGCCTCTTGACAGGTTCCGCAGACTGCAAGGGCAAGACCACGTGGGGTGAACGGGGCAGAGGAGTGGTCGGCACAGATGTGCCCCGCCCCATTTCTGGAGTCCTTGGAAGGTGCAGCCTGCGGGAGCATCAGGCCCAGGGAGGTGCCGCCCCACAGCCTCCTCCTCAGGCAGCTGACAGGCCCCACCCACCCAGCACATGCGAGGGGCCAGGCCTGCTGGGCCAGACCTTCTGGGGGCCATGCAGGGCTGTCCCCTTGTGCAGCTTGCTGTGCGGGCTTGGCCGGATGGTGGGGGGGAATGTCCAGATGGGGCCCTGCTCTCCGTCCTCAGCATCTCCATCACTATAGAGGAAGGTGAAGTCACAGGAGCCCTGGGGCTGGGACTCAGGGGCGTCCCAAACACATGCCTCTTAGCCTCCCCGCTGCTTCCTGAGGCAGCCTCACAGCCCTAAGTGCCAGGTGGGGCCCTGCCCAGACCACAGGGGTCAGGGGATCACACAGGTCCCTAGCAACTGGCCCCCACATCCCTGCCCTAAGCAGGAACCCCAGGGAGGTGCCACCCCACAGCCGCCTCCTCAGGGCCAGGATCCCGCAGGGCGGGCAAGGCTCCTACATGTCAGAATCCTCAGAGCTGGACTCCTCGCCGTGCCCCTCCGACTTCCAGCGCTTGTAGCGGTCGATGAGCTCGGTGAGGAAGGTGGTCTTCTTGGTGTGGCGCGTGATGAACTTGTGCTTCAGGAGCTCTTTGGCAGTGGGCCGCTGCCGGGGGGTCAGACACGGGTGAGCAGGCGAGGAGACGGCTGGGCTCTGCCCTTTAAACTCCGGGAGCTCAGACCCGGCTGGGGTGTGGCGTGGCTTTGCCTCCTTGCTCAGGGAGAACTTGGTGAGGGGTCCCGGGAATGGGAGGGGGCAACCGGGAAGCTGGGGAGGGCTCCACGCCATCCCCCCAGGCAAGTTCTCCACAGGCTGCCTGAGGCCGTGGCAGAGCCGGCCCTGGAAAGGGGTAGAGGGGTGGGGCCTGGGGCGAGGTGGGACCTGTCGCAGAAGGGCCTCACCACAGATTCCTACCCCCCCAAGCCAGGGGCCTGCAGGCTTACAAATCGGGGGTCCTTGTTGAGGCAGGCCTCCACAAACTCCTTGAAGGGCTTACTATGGTGGCCCTCCAGCGTGGGGGGACTGTTCTTGGGGATCAGGAACAGGACACGCATGGGGTGCAGGTCGGAGTTCGGAGGCTCGCCCTTGGCCAGCTCGATGGCTGTGATCCCCAGCGACCAGATGTCGGCCTGGACAGAGCCACACAGGACATTAGCCGCCGTGTGCCTGAGCCGCCACAGCTGCCCTCGTACCCGCCGTGCCCACCTTGAAGTCGTAGGCCGACTGCTTGATGACCTCAGGTGCCATCCAGAAGGGGGTGCCCACAAACGTGTTCCTCTTGATCTGCGTGTCTGTGAGCTGCCCTGCCACCCCGAAGTCCGCCAGCTTCACGTCACCCTGCTCCGAGAGCAGCACGTTGGCAGCTGCTCAACACAGGACAGCAGGCCTCACACTCGGAACCAGGAAGACCCTCCCCCTGTCCACCTGGCCTCCTAGGGACACCAGCAGGACTGTCCCCAGGACCTCGGCTCGTCTCCACCCAGGAGGCAGATGGGGTTGGGCCTGTCCACCGTCTGGCCCAGGGCCACAGACCACCGCCAGTGGTGCCCGCAGCGTGAGGGGCCCCCAGTGCTGGCCTCTTACGACAGATTCCAAGAACAGAGCAACTGCCCTTTTCTCCCAAACTGCCCGACAGGCAGGTGACCCAGGCCCTTCCCCACTCCACCAGCCATCTCTAGTTAGCCCCTTCGACCACGGCCTTCCGCAGGGACACTCTGCACGGCCATAAGAGGGCTCCAGCCCACACCCGACATAAACAAAAACGCACTTTCAGCTTAAACAGGGTCCCTTCTTACACTAGAAGCGCAGCTGGTGTATGTGACGTACGGGGACATACAGGGCACTAAGGAAGTTCGCCCCGTTACTGGCAGTGTCTTCCGGCAATGGAGCCAGACGGCGCCACTCAGGTTCCAGCGGCCGCAGCGAGCACAGGCTGGGAGCGCTGAGCTAGGGCCCCACACCCAGACCCCCGGTGTCACCAGCCGCGCCCCGCACAGCGACCTGCCACCTTGCCCGTGCAGGAGCCGCGCCCCAGGGACCTTTGATGTCTCGGTGGATCTTCCTTTCCGAGTGTAGATAGTCCAGGCCCTTCAGGATCTCCCTCAAAATGGTGGCGATGTAGGTCTCCTCCAGGGGGCCCGGCTTCAGCTGTAGGCAGATGGACAGCAGGGCTCAGGCTCCCTCCCTCCACTAACGCTGCCCCAGACCCATCTCGGAGGTCTGAGCTCGACCATCTCCACCAGGGGAGGGGTGACCTTGCGGATGGCGGGGCTTCCTATTCCGTCAACTACTTTTGAAATAAAATGAAGTTTCAGATGAGGCCACGTGGCTGTGGGGAGGTTGTTTTTAGAGAACACGTGCTACCGTCACCTTTGCTGTAAAGCTAACAGATAAGATTGGGGCCCCCACCACACTTCTGAGCCTGTATATCTGGGGGCACTAATCTACCCGCCCCCACACAGGCCAGCAGAGACCCAGGACCCCTAAGCACCAACCAGGGGGGCTGCGAATAGCTCCTGACACCTAACGCACCAGGACAGCAAAGGAGAGGGGACCCTAGGAGCCCAGGGGCCGTGGGTGGCGGGTCCAGGGACGCGGGTGGGACAAGCCCCCAGCGACCCTCCTGTGTGGTGCTGCCCTGGCTGCCGCCCGCCATTTCGGCCTCCCGCTCACCAGGTCCAGCGCGGAGCCTCCGCCCAGGTACTCCATGATAATCCACAGCTTCGTGCTCTGGGACCAGATAAGTGCCTGTCAGCATGTTTGTGCAGCGAGCAGGCGCCCCAAGATCCATGACACACCCCACCCCACCCCCACCCGCCCACCACAGCTTGCGGCCCCTCGAGGGCGCCTCCACTAAGGGCCCCAGCAGCCTCCAAGCTCCCCGCCTGTCACACCGGCTGCAGCAGCTTTGCAAACGGGCCAAGTGCTCAGATCGGTGGCCGAGTCCACTGTGCCAACAACCCATCAGAAACCAGGCTGGGAGAACTGCCCAGCCAGCACTCGGCCTTGACACTGGCACACCAGGTGGCCCTAGAAGCCCCCAGCTGGCGCTGGGCACCAAGCTCCAGCTGCAGGGGTCCCACAGTGCTACCAGCAGGGCTTCATGGATGCCGTCCCATGGGGGTCGCCCCAGCTCTGGCACAGCCAGGCGCTGGGTCACATAGCCAATCCAGAGCCACTGTGCCTGCAGACCCTGCTCATCCCCGGCCATTCCCAGGGCTCCCCTGAGGATGAAACCAGGTGCCCCCTGCACACCTACCTGGCCTCAGGGCTGTCGTTTTGGGGGCCCCTCGCCCTCAGCCTAGGCCTGTCATCCCGCAGAACCCGGGGGCCCATCCCTCGCTTTGGGTGGAGGCCCCACCCTGCAGGCACCTTCAGGTAGGAACCGAAGTAGCGGGTGATGTAGGGGCTGTCGCACTGGCTCAGCACCGTGATTTCCTGCTGGATGTCCTCAATCTCGTCCTCAGCCTCCTCCAGGTCGATGATCTTGATGGCCACCACCTCCTTGGAGCGGTTGTCGATGCCCTTGAACACCTCCCCGAAGGAGCCCTTGCCGATGCGGTCCAGCTTGGTGAAGAGCGCCTCCGGGTCCACACGTGAGTGCTGGGGAGACGCAGCCCTGTCAGGGGGCCAGGGGCCCAGAGGCCCAAGCACCAGGCCAGCCAGGGCGCTCTCTACAGTCTCTTCTTGTTCCTTCTTTCATTCTTTTTGTTCAGAAATGTAAATTTACCCTCCACCCCAGGGAAAGACCCTGAGAGCACAGATGCCTGGCTCCAGACCAAGGACCAGGGCCACGAAGGTCACCCCCGCTGGCCACCCTCAAGTGGGGAGGACCAATAAGCACAGCAAGGGTTAAAAGGGCTGAGCAGGTGGAGCTCGGAGACTCCAGGCAGTAAGACTGCCCTGTGCGGGGCTGGAAGGTGGCACATGCACAGCCCCAAGAGTGAACCTGGTGAAACCCTGGGCTTAATAACAATGTGTCAACACTGGCTTATCAGTCGTAACAAACATATCACACTAACCCAGACACTGATAACAGGTTAATACCCAGGAGACTCTCGCTCATTTTCCTGTAAACCTAATTGCTCTAAAAATCAGCCTAATAATTTAAGAAAACACACCCAGCACATGAGCCAAGTTCTCCCTGCACACCTGGCAGTAACACCCCTTAGAGAGGGCTTCCCTTCGCCTCCCAGACCCCGTCCTCAGGACGCTCCTCCTCACACCAGCACCCAGCTGCAAACCCTCTCTTTCCTGGACCCTCAAACAGCACAGGAGGCAGCCTGCTCGGTCCTGAAACGCACGGAGCCGCGGGTGCAGACTGTGGCCAGGCCGAGAACCACACTCTTGACCCTAACCCTCAGTGAGCCCCCTGGGGCTCCTGGGTGCCTTGGGCGGGCCCCAGAAGGGCTGGGGGTGGGGGCTAGCATCCTGTCCACACAGAGGTGGCCAGGGTCTTCCAAGCCCCACAGGCATCCAACCCGTCAGGGCATACCTCCCTCTGAAGAGGGCAATCCCACCCCCCACACGCCTCCATGAAGCCCATGTGAAGGCAAAAATCACTGCTGGCTGTGCTATGCCTGGTGCTGAGGGGCCGTCCCAGGCAGGGGGTACCCCCCCCCAGTCTCAGGGTACCACAGGGCCCAAGCTCACCTCCGGCACAGCTCCGTGCTGGGCTGGCCTGGCCTCGCTCCAGGCTGAGACAACATGTCAATCAGAAACTGCAATTACCTGCCTTCCCGGGATTAGTAACCAGGAGGAAGGGGACACACGCAGGCCCACACCTGGGAACACGCCTTGCCACGCAAGCCAGAAGAGTGAAGGCTGCACGGTGACAGGCACTTTGGAGGGGAGCTGGTGGGGGCCGGGGGCCAGCAGCAGTGTTTCAACACAGACTCCTCCCCAACAAGGCAGGATGGGCAAGGCGGCAGCCAGAGGCAGATGCCCAAGCCAGTGGTAAGGTGTCCGCTCACACCCCGGCTCAGCCTGTTAAGGAATGCGGCCGTTCTCCCTGGAACCAGCAGCCCCGTACACAGGGAAGACAGACAACTGCAAGCATGCAGCTAGCCTGCTGCCAGGAAGTCGCACGGTCAAGGGAAAGCAGAGCTTCAAATCACAGCTGCTCAGGTCTTCAGGTGTGGGTGGGGCGTGGGTCTTGGGATCGGAACCAATCCCAAGAGAACGCCCAGCCCACACTGCTGACCACTTAGAGACCGGCACAAAAAGGCCTTCCTGCCAGAGGGAAAACATTCTCCACTGGCTTCCAGGTGGGGACCTCGCTGCCCCCATTCGGCCTTGGCCAGAGCCGATCTGGTCCCTGCAGCTGCCAAGGGAACCCCAGGCGACCCACTCAGACCTCCACTGCCTCAAGCAGAACACAGTGCACCCCTAAACCAGAGTCCAGGCTCCACAGGGAAGGCAGGGCCCTGAGCCTCAGGTCGCACAACCGCGGTGATCAGTCAACTGAGCAGACAGGGTGTGACAGGAACACTCCTGGCTGATACCCTACAAACACATCACAGGGACAACCATTCCCAGCCCCACCGGGTGAAGGAACAGCGGGTCTGGGGGCCTGGGAGCCCTTCTAGACCATGCACGTGCTCTGGATAATCTTTTAGGTTGCAGTCAAGACCCTTGTTCTCCAAGTCAGCCCTGGCACCGCCAGATCTGTGGCCACCATCTGGCAGCATGTCTGCCATTAGTTTCACCCCACAAAACAAGAGCCAAGCCGTCCCCAACCACCAAATGACGGGTGGCAGCCAGTGAGCACACGGTGCTTCCGCACCCCCAGCCACTCAGGCCCATAGGTGGGGGTGACGTCAGGGCAGGAACAAAAGCTGTGGGGGTGCGTGCCCGCTGCTCCGCACAGGGACCATACCACAGGCCACAGTGACAAGCGTCTCAAGAGAAAATGCCGTCCTGTCAGGCTTCCTGCTGCCCACGAAGGCCGAGACTACTGCCCCTGAAAGGACAAGGGCGCTTCCTTCCTTCGGGGTCCCTTCCCCAGCTCCTCAGCCCCCACTCCCCGTCCCCGGGTCTGAATGGACACCCAGGCCAAGCACCAAGTACCACAGCACACCGGTGCAGAGGTGGCTCCCAGCGCCAAGTCCTCCCTGGGGCCCATGGGAGCTGCTCCTACAGCTCTTAGCAATAAGCTCAAGGCAGACTCGTCTCCCAGCGCCTTAGCCACGTACTCTTCCAGACACAAAACGTCAAAAACAAATGCAGTCTGTAGCATAAGTCAGCGTCCGTCGGCAAGCCCCAGTCCCACCCGTGGCCACAGCTGGTCCAGGATGCCCTGCCCAGCAGCTGCGCGTGGTTTCCGGGCTCCTCCTCCCCGCACACGACGTGACCCAGCTTCCTGCTTGCCATTCCGCACACGGTGGCCAGCTGGGGACTCCTCTCGTAAGAGGCCATCCCCACACCTTACAGCAGCTGGCCTCAAGTGGGCCCAAGCCAACGCATAGAGGGAACAACAGGGAGCACACAGGAAAACCTGGCCACCAGGTGGTTCACCCCACATCAGCTCAGATCACACTTGCTGTAACAAGAAACGGGGGAGGTCCAGACCCCAAGTCCCCCACTTGCCCCCCTCCCCCCGGCTTTCCAGACGCCAGCAGCAGGCCCTCATTCCAGGCTAACTCAGGGCACACTGCAGAGGGTCTCCCAGAGTCAGCCGGTTAACGGTTAGCGGGCAGGGGCAGACGCTTCAAGGGGGCTGGGTGCTGGGAACTGCAAGCGCCAACCAATCCAAGGAGGGCGGACCGTCCCCCACTCCTACACAACAGCCGCCTGATCACGTTCTCGGCTCCCCTCAATCGCCTGTCAAGGAGGGGTCCCCCAGAGCCCCAGCCCAACGCGGCCAAAATGATCCCAGCTCAGGCCGAGGCCCCAGTGTGAACCCTGACCTTGGCCAGCCCAGCAGATGTGCAGACCCAGGATCCTGCCCAGGCCACCCCGCCGTTCCTGAGCCAGGTCCCCTCACACCCTCCAACTGACCCCACACTGTGGCTGTGTTTTGAGATGCCTGTGGGCTTCTGCACCCCCAAACGCTACACCAGCCACCCTGAGTCAGCCCTGAGCCCCAGCAAGCCTGCGCACCTGGGGACTGCTCCCCACTTTGCCCACAGGTGTGCATCACAGGTTTCCAGTCAACACTCGGCCCTTCACCCACACACCCTCGGAGGAGCGGCTCTTCTCAAACCCGTGCCCTTTCCGTTCTGACTCTGCAGTCGCTGCTCGCGGCTCGGGCGCGCGGACACACCTTCCCCCTCTCACCGTCCGAAAACGAAGCCTCACCTGGTTGGCAAATCCCCTGAGGTGAGCCATGTCTGCGCTGCTCTCAGAACATCCGCTGCAGCCCCAGGAGGCCCCGGATTCCGCCTTGAGGCTCTGGAACCCGGCCGGCTCGCTTCAGTCAACTGGAGGGACAGCAGGCCCACTCGCTCAGTGCCCGCTCAGGGTACGCGAGGCGACCTCGGGGGCAGGGGCCGCGCCCTCGTCCGACCGTCTGGGGACAAGGTCCAAGGGGGGCGCCGGGCTGGAGACAGGAGGGACCCCCCACACACACCGCAGCAGCCCTGCCCGCCCCGCCCCGCCCGGGTCCAACGCCCTCCGAGGGGATCGCCAACCCTGGGCCCCCCTCGAAGCCCCTCCGCCTCAGACCCCGCCTGGGACCCGCCTCCCCACGCCAGGCCGACGCTCCCGGGGCCCACCCCCCGCCGCGGTGCCCTTCTCCCCGCACCCCCATACCCACCCGGGGCCCGCTCGCCACCTCTCGGCTCCCCCCACACCACTCGGCCCCCTCCCCAACCGCCCCAGGCGCGGGCTCGCCCGGCAGCGCGCCCACCTCCGGGGCGCTCCATCCCGGCCTCCCCCGGCCCGCTCCGTAGCGCCCGCGCAGGCTCCCACCCGCAGCCTCCGCTCGCCCGGGGGACGCCCGGGCCCTCAGCCCGCGAAGGAGCAGCAGTAGCGGCGACGGCCAGAGAAAGGCCGGCGGCGGCGACGGGAGGGCGGTACGCGGCGTCGTGGCCCAGCGCAGGGCTCTCGGGACACCGAGTCCCGCCGCTCGTCCCGCGCCTGTGCGTCCGCCCGCGCTGGACTACAAGTCCCGGCAGGCCGCAGGGGGCGGGGCCGCGGCCCTCAGGCGCGCCGCGTGGCTCGCCGGGACTCCGAGTCCCGCCGCTCGTCCCACGCCCGTGCGTCCGCCCGCGCTGGACTACAAGTCCCGGCAGGCCGCGGGGGGGGCGCGGCCCTCAGGCGCGCCGCGGGGCTCGCCGGGACTCCGAGTCCCGCTTCCTGAGAGGCTCTGGACTACGTCTCCCGGCAGGCCGCGGGGCGTGCCGGGTCCTGGAGGCGGGACCAGGCGGCGCGCTCAGCTTTGGGGTCGGGACCGGCCTGCGCTCTGCTTTTTGTCGCCTTTCTGCATCCCTCTTCCTCCACCCCATCTTCCCCCGCCCCTCTCTCATCCTCCCCCACCCCTGTCCCCTCCACCTTGGAGGGCGTGGGCCCTCCCGCCACAGCTTATCTGGTAGGCCCTGGCTGGCAGCAGCCCCAGTGTCCTGGGGGGAGGAAAGCACCCACAAATGTGGTGCGTGCATGCGATGCAATATCATTCAGCCTGAAGAAGGACGTTCTGACACCTGCTGCCGCATGCGTCGACCTGAGGACGTATGAGCAGTGAAATAAGCCAGACACAGAAGGACAAACAGTGTGTGATCCCACTTGTATGAGGTCCCTAGGGGAGTCAGATTCAAGGGCTGGCGGAGAGGAGGGGAGGGAGTGTTTGAGGGGCGCAGGTCAGTTTGGGAAGACTGAAGAGGCCTGGAGACAGAGGTAATGGTTGCAGAACAATGATGAGCTTTAACAACTGAGCTGTGCACTTACGCATGCTTCTCGTGGTCACTTCTGTGTCATGTGTATTTTCCCACAATTATAAATAAAATGAATTAAAAAGGAATTAAGTCCTGACACATGCTAAAACATAGAAGAACCCAGAAAACAGTATGCTAAGGGAAATAAGCCTAAGAAACTCTTCTCCTATCACAAGACAAATATTGTGACTCCACTTCTATAAGGTATCAAGAATAGGCCAATTAGAGAGACAGAAAGTAGAACAGAGATTTCCAGGGGCTGGGGGAGCGGGGAGTGGGGATATATTACTTAGTGGGTACAGAATTTGGGGTGATAAAAAAAAAGTTCTGGAAATAGTGGTGATGTTTACACAACTTGTGAATATTCTTAATGCCACTGAATTTTACACTTAAAAATGGTTAAAATGGTAAGTTTTATGTGTATTTTACCACAAATAAAAGCAAAGACAAATTGAGCTTCATCAAAATGTTTACATTTTGCAGGGTGGCCAGTCAGCTAAGTGGTTAGAACGCAGGCTCATAACACCAAGGTTGCCAGTTCGATTCCCACGTGGGCTGCAGAACTGCACCCTCCGCAACTAGAGTGAAGACAACTACTTGACTTGGAGCTGATGGGTCCTAGAAAAACACACTGTTCCCCAATAAAATTTCTTTAAAAAAAATTTTTTTTTACATTTTGCTTTCAGAAAGACACTATTAGGAGAATGAAAAGATATGCTACAGACGGGGAGAAAACATTTGCAAATCATATATATATATATATATATATATATATATATATATATTTACATGGGGATGTAAAGTAACGCACAGAAAATATAGTCAATAATATGGTAATAACTGTGTATAATGCCAGGTGGGTACTGTTGAATAACTATGATGTACACCTGAAACTAAAACAATATTTTATGTTAGTTATATTTTAATAAAAATATATATTTTTAAAACCCAATAAGGGGCCAGCCGAGTAGCGCATTGGTTAAGAGTTGGCTTGGGATGCCAGCTCTGAGCAGCAGGGTCCTGGTTCGGATCCCACATTAAGGCCAGTGACACTGCCCTCTACAGCTAGGATGGTGAACGGCAGTTTGACCTGGAGCTGGGCTGCTGCAGCCCCTGCTGCAGTGGGCTGCCGTGGGCTACCGTGTGTAGCCAGCAGCCAGCGTGAGTGGCCGGCAGCCAGTATGAGCTGCCAAGAGCCGCTGTGAGCGGCCGTCCAGAAGCTGGCGACCAATCTGCCTCACCCAGGAAGAACACAGTGATAATACCAACATGGGCCAGTGAGGCGATGTCCTCCACAACTAGGCTGAAGAACAAGGGGACGGCGGCTTGTCTGTTCCCCTTCCCCCGATTCCCCAACGCTGTTCCCTGCCCCCAATTATTAAAAAAATCCAAAAAAACAAACAAAAAAAAACCAATAAGAAAACTTGAGAATAGACTTAGCCCACCAAAGAGGATAGATGGGTGGCCGTCAGCAATGAACAGATGCTCAACGTCATTACCTAGCTGGGAAATGCAAATTGAACCATGATGAGACACGGCCGACACACATATTAGAATGGCTAAATAAAAATACTGCCACTGGCAAGTGGTGACAAGGATAGGGTGACCAACCATCCTAGTTTGCCCAGTTGTTTCCCGCTTTGAACACTAAAAGTCCTGCATCCTAGGAAGCCCCCTCCCCATCCTGGGCAGAGCAGATGGTTGGTCACTCAGGGTATGGAGGCAGAGCCCAGAACTCTTATACGGTGTAAATGGTGCAGCCACTTTAGACAACAGTTTGGCAGTTGCTTAAAAAGTCAACTATACACCTAACACATGAGCTAGCATTCCCACTCCTGGGTATTTACATAGAGAAAAGAAAACGTACCTTCACACAAAAGCCTGTGCATAAATGTCTACAGCATGTCTAGTCAGCAGGGCCCCAAGCTGGAAACCGCCCAGAGGTCCTTCCGTGGCGAGTGGGTGAGATGTGGTTCCATCCATATGTGGAATCAACTATTTGGGCGAACTCGAGAGACGTGTGAGAGAAGGAGCCCGTCTCAAAGGGTCACATAGTATGGGATTCCATATAGGAGGCATTGTGAAAAGACAACAGCTGCAAGGGAGAAGTCGCCAGTGGTTCCCAGGGGTAGAGGGAGCCACCTGCTCCCACAGAGGAGAGCAGGAGGGCGTTTCTGGGGATGAGGGATCTGCTCTGTACCCTGACTGTGGAGGGGATGACACAAATCTATACCTGTATTAAAACTCAAAGAACTGTACACTAAAAAAGACAATTTCGTGTATGGTTTCCTAAAAGAAAAATTTTTAATTAACAATAATTCCTTAATATCAAATATGGAGTCAGCGTTCAAATGTCTTATATGTGTGTGTGCACAGACATGATTTCATATACGTAACTGCACACAGTTTGTTCAAATCAAGATCCCAATAAGGTCCATGTCTTATGACTGGTTTGCCTGTCTCTTTTTTCTCCTTCATTTCAGTGCCGAAGAAACCCACCCACTTGTCTTGTAGAGGACCCCACCTGCACTTTGCTGATGGCACCCCGCAACCCCAGCCCCATGCTGTGCACATTTCAGGCCCCTCCGCTGTGACATCACAGCTGCACTCCGGTGAGGAGACCCAGGTCATCTCTATCAGGTTGCTAACACACTCTCAAATGGAGGCAGCAACGTGTCTTCCTGGGAAGCCCTAGAGCGCAGCGTATCTGAGGACGCCCCACCGGGCACCCTGGCCTCTCCCGCACTGCCCAGGGTGAACCTGCCCCACAGCAAGTGGCACTCCCCTGAGGCTGTGCAGAAGTGGGGCATGGGAGGCACTGGTGGAGGGCGCGGCCCCCAGGGACCACTGGTCTTCCTTGGCTGCCCGGTGAGGCAGGGACTGACAGCACAGGGATAGGCACACACAGTAAGCAAGTCTGCTCAAAACCGGGAAAGGCTAGGGGCCCAGGACACCAGATGACCAGGAGGATCTCAGCCTCAGCACCACTGCAGGGCCAGATGGTGCAATTTCCCCTGAGTACAACCTTCTACGTTAGAAGTTCCCCAGCGTCAGGGATGGGACCAGCTCTGCCCTTGGCCCTGGGCCTGGGCAATTGGCTGGAGGACAATTGGCTGGAGGACATGTTACAGATGAGCCCTTTCTGCCGAGCCAGGGGCATGACCACGTCAGGTAGTGAGCGCCAGCCTCAGTGGGCCCTCCCTCCAGTCCGCATGGCTGCACGGATTCTGAGTGTTGGCCCACTGCCTCACTTCACCTGCTGAGGAGTCAGTTCTGTCCGCAAGGGAGCCCCACTGAGGCCCAGGGATCCCGGGAGGCCTCCAAGGTGGTGCTGAGGTCATTGGGCCAGGAACACAGAGCCATGCGACCCGTGTCTCCCTAGGGGAGCCACCCACAGGCAGGGGGCAGGGTTGCTGCCATGGTCTCCCTCCAGGTTGTCCAACCTCCTCTTCTGCTCAGGGACCCAGGTCGGTGAAGCGACACAGGCCTGAAAATTGGGCCAAGGGCTGGCCCCAGACCTGCGAGTTCCCAGCCTGCACCCGCACCAATCAGCTCCTCGATGGGTGGCTTCTCCTTTATTAAGTTCAGGGGACCCCACAGCTATCCCTGCATGTCACCCCAGCCGCCTCATTGTCTTGCTGCCTGCTGGCGCCCCTACTACCCTGACGTCAGCCTCCATGTCAACTGCAGGGCCCTCGAGCACCTTCAGTCCTCGGGGAACTGGCCCAGGATGGTGCCCCCACCAGAGCATTTGTTGGGGGTCACTGGGACTGGAAAGGTCAGAGAGGTGCCAGCCTTCCTCTTCTGAGCAAAGCACCACCTTCCTCCAGCAGGTTTACATCCAAGCCCCAGGCAAGCCTCAACTTCCTCTCCCAAAGCCCACGGGTGTCTGAGAAGGCAGGGCTTCCATGCCTGCATGTCTGTCACCATGCTATGGACGAGGACAGACTGCTCCAGCGGGAGTGGTTCAGTGAGGAGACCATGGGAACACACTCAGGACCAAGGGTTAAGTGAGAATCAGGTTTCAGAACTGCACACGAATTCAGAACTGCATAAAAGTCTACACTGTTTTGAACTGAGAGGAAATAGGCCTAAATACTACTCACAGTCCT